TGTTTGATGTTTTATCGTGTTTTTAATATTCTGTTGGGAACTGCCCAGAGTGGCTGGGGAAACCCAGCCAGATGGGTGGGGTATAAATAAATTTTTTATTATTATTATTATTATTATTCATTGCTTTCCATGCAGAAGATACTTGGGCCACAGTTTCTCCAGGTAGGGCTGAAAAAATGTCCCATCTGAAACATCGGAGACCCATTGCCGATCAGTGTAGACAGTAGAGCTGAATGGATCCATGGTCTGACTTTGTATCTTGAGGCAACTCGGTTTTCAACACATCTTGTTGCACCCTAAACATCTTGCAGATGAAGGTGACCCGGAAACTACAACTAATCCAGAATGCGGCAGCTAGACTGGTGACTGGGAGTGGCAGCCGAGACTATGTAACACCGGTCCTGAAAGACCTGCATTGGCTCCCAGTATGTTTCCGAGCACAATTCAAAGTATTGGTGCTGACCTTTAAAACCCTAAACTGTCTCGGCCCAGTATACCTGAAGGAGCGTCTCCACCCCCATCATTCAGCCAGGACACTGAGGTCCAGCTCCAAGGGCCTTCTGGAGGTTCCATCACTGCGAGAAGTGAGATTACAGGGAACCAGGCAGAGGGCCTTCTCGGTAGTGGCGCCTGCCCTGTGGAACGCCCTCCCAGCAGATGTCAAAGAGAACAACAACTATCTGATTTTTAGAAGACATCTGAAGGCAGCCCTGTTTAGAGAAGTTTTTAATGTTTGATGTTTTATTGTGTTTTTAATATTCTGTTGGGAGCCCAGAGTGGCTGGGGAAACCCGGCCAGATGGGCAGGATATAAATAATAAATTATTATTAACTATTATTATGGAACTGCTGCACCAGGTGAAAAAGCCCCTTCCCAAGAGGGATTGTCAGCTGACACAATTTCTCAGGACTTATATTTTTGAATTGTTCTAGGTTTGTATGGGCTGCATTCATTTATTGAATTTATTGTTTGCTACTATTAGAAATGGGTGATTTTGTCAACTTTGTTTTCTCTCGTTTTTCCAATCTCAAATTCAGTTCCCCACTTCATTAGTGTTCTAGCGTGGGCTTCTCCATATGCACATTTTATATGCAATTCCCCGAATAGACACATTTTTTCCGCAAAGCATTTTTTCTGTAACGCAATACATCTTTGTATGTTATTTTCATGAATCAATGGATTTTTACACACATTTAACGTATTTTTTTGCACAGGTTACTGGGCTGAAGAACTGCAGTGCAAAAGTTGAAGAGGGCAGATTTCAAAGGATGGCTGCATCGTTCCAGTTCACTTCTAAGAGGTTTGGGAAAGTTTGAGTCTGCTAGGTTTGTCTTTAAATATTAACTGAATCAACTTTCTCTTCCATCCCTAGTCATTGTGTTTCGATAGGACTGTATTGGTGGGAACGCTGCTTTTCTAAAATGCTTTGTGTTTGTTGTGGGCCGAGTTCAATGTTGCTATTGGAAAAGTGCCAAATATCAAACCAAATTCGTCAACTTTATGTGCATCATGGGGAAGTTTAAATCCCCTTCATATACAGCAAGGGTGGCCACATGGTGCCCTACAAATTCCAGCAGCCCCAAATGTCATGTGCAACAGCCATGGATGATGGGAGTTGTAGTCCAACAACATTGGGAGCTCAACACCAGGGGATTTGGGGTGTGTGTGTGCACACCACACTGCACCCACACTGTAACTTGATGTTGTGACATCATGTCGCTTGCATTGTGTGTGCTACACCAGTGGGGCCTCAGAGGTCACATCTGAGGCCTCCGTTGTGACCTCCAGTTTCTACTAGAAGTCGCATCTGAGGTCCCATGAGGTCTCAGACACGACTTCCAGGGTCTCACGAAGCACCAGAATTCGCATTAGAGGTGCCCGAATGATGGAGTCTATGTGTTCAGCTGGTGCTCCACCTAGAAAAAGGTAAAAGGTAAAGGTAAATGACCCGTGGATGGTTAAGCATAGTCAAAGGCAGGCACGTCCAAAGTCCAGCCCGGGGGCCAAACCCGGCCCCCTGGTCGATTTAATCTGGCTCCTCAAGCAATTCTGAGAAATGAATCTGTTGCAGCCTCCAAGCTCCTGCTGTTCAGCTTGTTCTGCCCAGGAGCCAACACACAGACGGAGAGCTGTAGGTCTCCAGCATTGACCCTTGGAACCGCCCACCCGCCGGATCGTGCATGCACCCTATTCAGTTTTCCTGTCGCTGGTTGGCTCGTGCAGGTGCCCTGTGTGTGGCTCGTCCTTCGACCTGCCTGCAGGTTCCTGCAGCGGCTCACCATGCAGCTTGCTTTCATAGTCACTCTCGCCAGTACAACTAAAAGAAAGCTCAACAACTTCAATCCTAAAAAACCTCAATCAACACCTTTGGGGTAAAATCCTAAAAAAAAGGGTAGGCTGTCTGAATTGTGCATTGCTTTGTAACAATTGGTTGGGTCTCTGGACTGTAATAAAGATTGATTGATTGATTGATTGAAAAAAAAAGCTCAACAACTTCGGCTGGCCCTCATGCATGTTTACTTCATCAAATCTGGCCCTCTTTTTTGGACACCACTGGTCAAAGGTGACTATGGGGTTGCGGCGCTCATCTCGCTTTTCAGGCAGAGGGAGTCGGCATTTGTCCACAGACAGTTTTCCAGGTCATGTGGCCAGCATGACTAAACAGCTTCTGGCGCACAGAGGACCGAGATGAGTGCCAGAGTGCATGGAAACACCATTTATCTTCCCGCCACAGCAGTACCCATTTATCTACTTGCACTGGTGTGCTTTCGAACTGCTAGGTTGGCAGGAGCTGGGACAGAGCAATGGGAGGTCACCTCATCACTGGGATTCGAACCGCTGATCTTCCGATCAGCAAGCCCAAGACCAGGGGTTGGCAAGGCTTACCTTGCCTGGGCTGGTTCACTGCCACGGAGCCCCCTCCATGGACCAGATCGCAGGCGTGCGTTAGCGCGTGTGCGACCAATTTCCGGCATTTGCATCTGCACAGACATGATTTCCAGCGCTGCAAAAGCGAGTCCCTGTGCCGTGGTGTGCTGGTTTAGTACAGCGCATGGGGACTCGCCAAGTGGATGGCTCTGTTTGGGGGCAGCTCATGGGCCGGTAAAGCGACCCTCATGGGCTGCTTGTGGCCCCAGGGCCTTAGGTTGCTGACCCCTGCCAAGAGGTTCAGTGGTTTAGACCACAGGGCCACCTGCATTTCTCCACCTAGAAAAAGGTGCATCTAGCCAACAATAGGACCAGGTGAGCATTGTGATACAAATGCTATCACATTCGTGTTGGTTGCATATATAAAACCAGCTGCTATGCAGGTCCTACATGGTAGATTTGGGCTCCTTTTAAAAATACATGTAAGAAGCTCAGGAAAGAACACCAACTGCTCACAATCGTATCAAAAATATTTTATTTATTAAAGTAGCAATTGTACTAAACAACCTATACTTGAAATGTATTGAATAATTGCTAGAATAAATACAGGCAATTATTTCAAACCTTTAAAGAATGAGAGGATTTTTATTTGACACTTGAACGTTGTTACCCCAAAGCTTTAACTTATACAATATAAATAGTTAAAAGGCAAAAGTCAAGTTTCTTTTCTTTTTTTTCTCATTTGTAATTTGCATGGTTGTTTTTTTAAAAAAGAAAATTTAATACTGATCCATTTGGTCACCAAAAAGGATCGATTTTCTCCCCCAGTTGCAAGCAAATTAAGGCAAATAATTTTGCGAGCAACGCGATCTCTGTATCATCAGACAAGGTAGTATGGGTGTGACACATTCCACAGCAGAAAAATCAAAGTCATACAGTGGTGCCCCGCAAGACGAATGCCTCGCAAGACAAAAAACTCGCTAGACGAAAGGGTTTTGCATTTTTTGAGTCGTTCCACAAGACGAATTTCCCTATGGGCTTGCGAGTTCTTGCGAGTTTGTTTCCTTTTTCTTAAAGCCGCTAAGCCGTTAATAGCCGCTAAGCCGCTAATAGCCGTGCTTCGCAAGACGAAAAAACCGCAAGACGAAGAGACTCGCAGAACGGATTAATTTCGCCTTGTGAGGCACCACTGTATCTGCATTTTCAGGAAGACAACCATATAACCCCCAAAACAACCAGATGAGCTTCCGTTTCACCACAGTGATGGTCCATGTCAAAAAGAATAAGAATAAAATATAGATCAGTATGTTGTTGATACTCTTCCACTTTTTAACAAATATTCTTAGGGATTAATATGACATTAATTTGCCTATGCAGGAATTGGGACCCATATTTTCCTCTTTTTTAAAAAATGTATTTTTAGGCATTCTTATAATAATAATAAAAAAAACTTTGATGGGTACATCATTGTAGAGATTCATGTTATTCTTCCATTAGGTTGGATCCAGACTTAAGATGTAATCTAATACACATTCACCTGGGAATAAACCCCCCTGAACTCAGTGGGACTTACCTTATTTTTCCGTCTATAAGACGCCCCATGTATAAGATGCCCCCTATTTTGGGGGACTCAGATTTAAGAAAAGTCCATCCTCGGTACTATCAGTGTATAAGACACCCCCTAATTTTTTATATTATTTTTTAGGGGGAAAACCTAGTCTTATACCCGGAAAAATATGGTAATTCTGAGTTGACATGTATGGGATTCTGCTATATGTTACTCATGCTTTAGCTCATTGAAATCAATTTGGACAAGTCAAGTCATGATTCACATAAATCCCATTGATTTCAGTGGGACTAAAGCTTTACTTTAGACAGGACCTATCCCAATAGTTTTCTCTGGAAGCTAATGGACTGCCAACAGCTTCCATTCTAGACTGGAAAGGATTTCCTCACTGGGTTGGCATAATTTGAACAAACCAAGATATGCAACCGGGATTTCACCCATCTTTACATATTTTCTAAACTGGAAACCAAGAGTTTCATTCCGGCAACACTATGTTTTCATATATATATATATATATATATATATATATATATATATATGAGAGAGAACATAGCATTAGGCACCAGGTGGTGGGATGGAAGACTGCTTTTAATGCCTGTGTATCATCTGGCAGAGGGTTATAAGTTTCCTCTTACAAAACTTTTATGGGGAGGAGAAAAAGATTGCACGTATCTATCCCATTGGCCTTTGTGGGCCCAATCCCGCAGAAAGTTCTCCTCCACAATTCGCACTGAAATTGGTGGGAGCTGTGCAGAACCGGAGGTGGAATTTGGGGCTCTGGATTTAATGGTCTCATTGCAACATCAATATTTGGTTAAGTCAAACCTGGTGTTTTTGTCCTCTCACTCTAATTATTCTACTATGTGGGGCACTGGACATCTGCCCAAATGGTCCCCTGAAGCTGTTTGTGATCATTTAACGCAGCTCCCATGGATTTCAATGGGGTTCCAAGGAGGAGAATATCCTGGGGATTGTGCTATTCCTTGCGCGCACAAAGATTTTGCCTCCAAAAATTGACAATGATGTTAATTTTCCCTTCCACCCCTCAAATAAAGTCAAAAGCACACATTTAAATACTTTCACAGAAATAAACATTCATCAGTTTAAAAATACAGAGACTTTAAAAAAAATTCTTCTTTCAATAGTGGGAGGGGGAAAAACTCAAATCAGCAAACCATTTTCACATTGTGGGCAAGTCTTTTTCTTTTCTTTTTTAAGGAGGAGTTTTTCAAAGCCTATTTAGAGGGGGGAAAGCGAGAGAGACTGTAAGAGTGGCGGGGAGGGGTGAAAATAGTGTACTTTTTGGCAGAAATATAAAATACGAGGTTTTTATTTATTTATTTTTTTAAAAAAAGACTGGTGTAAAAAGTAAACAGAGACAAATAATTACAATTATATAAAAATACAAACCCTTGGTCATCAAAACCCTTATAAAAACTTGACTTTGGAATTACAGTTTGCAGCCTAACACACACACACACACACACACACACACACACACCCCACATGCTCACTCGCACCCCTTCCTAGGAAAAAAAGTCACAGAACAACAAGAAGGTTCATAAATTAGGTTGCAGATCCTAAAATGGGTTACCAGATCCTTTGCTTGTGTCTCCAAAACTCCCTTTCTTCCATGTCCGCCCACAGGAGCGTGGCCAATGAGGTATATAGGACGTTAACACTTTTGGGCGTACGCACAACAGAAGAAAGTGCATCATTGGGAGACGACCCACAGGAATGGGTTGAATCCGTGTGATTTTCTTCTCCCCCCTCCCCCACCCTTTCCCGACAAAAAGGCACAATCACATTTAATTATTATTATTATTATTGCTTTGGCATGGTCATGAATTCGTTCATGTTCAAGTCCCAGCAGCAGTGATCCTTTTCCCTTGATGATCTCAAGTACCACAAATGCTAGAAGGTTCGTCATGTGACAAGAAAGATTCCATGGGCAGCAAAAGAAGAAAATAAAAACAATGGGGTTAAGGGAGGCACAGTGGTTGAATCATACATCAAGCACCATGTCGTACTGTTGTTCCTTCTTCCTCCTTCCGCATTTGGTGATGAGGACCAAGTACAAAGTCAAGAGCATCACCCAATAGCAGGCGTAAAGTATCGTACCAATGATTAGCACGGTCTGTTTCGATTCAGTGAATGGCTTTTTGGATTCCTTGTATATCGTGAAAATGACGCCGCCCAAGAGGATTGTAAACCAAATGGAGACCGGGATGAGTCCTATGAAGTTGACCACGATGGTTTTCCGGCCCGACGTACCCCAGCCTGCTTTGTTTATGGTGGCGATGGCAAACATCTTTGCCGGCAGTAAACTGGACATGTACAACACTGAGTAGAGAGACATGAAAACCATGACAATGTTCCCTCTAAGGCAGCTGGCAAAGGAAGACTTGATAAGGCCCACCAGCTGGACTGTCAACAAGAAAAGGAGGATGTTCCACAGCTTCCCCCGGTAGAAAAGCTGGATGACAGTGGCAATGAGGAAGAATGGGAAGAAGCCAGTGATGACAGCCTCGTAAGTCATCCACAAGTGATGCTTGTGGAACCACATTGCATTGTATAGCCACTCTCGGAAGTAGGACTTGCTCCAGCGGGTCTGTTGGTTCAACCACCTGAGATACTCGATGGGCGTTTCGGTAAGGCACTTGGACCGAGCCGTGTATTTCGTTGCATAGCCAAGGCTCAGGACTCGGTTGGTGAGATGACGGTCGTCTCCAAAGCTGCACTGAGATCCCATGAATTCTTGATTGTACCAGTCTTCCACAAATTCGTGGAGCAAGGCGTTCCTGTACATCCCCAAGGGCCCGCTGATGCACTGCACACAGCCAAAGTAGGACTGGCAGGCCCTCTCGATGTTAAACGCCATCCAGTATCGAACGCTGCTGAGAAAGGAGATCCACGAGTCGTACTTGTTCAAAATCTGCAAGCAGCAACAATGAAAAGGGAGTTTTAGAACAAGAAAAAGAATGTGCAACTGTGTTTTTATAAAAACAAAACCCATAAAGTGTATGTCGTAAAATACTGCCATTCGCATTTTTTTTCTTTTGACATAGTAATAATCATAAAGAAATAAGAATAAAAATGTACACCCCACCACTGAGACCATTCATTCCATTGTAACTATCCAACCTCCCAACACCTTCAACACCTCTTGCGATGGTTTGACCCCTTTCCGTTTTAACAGTACAAATTCTACAAACACCCTCCATATCTTCTCAAAATAATTTCTCCTGCATATTCCGTGCCTTACCTTAATGGCACATGTTAATTTATCATGAATAGCTATATCCCATACCTCTTTATACCATTCTTCCATTTTATATTCTGCTTACCCCTTCTACTTCCTAGCTATAATAATGTTTGCAGCTGTCAGTAAATTCGTGAGCAAGTTCTTCATAACCTGTGAACCTTCCACCCCATTGTAAATTGATAATAGTGCTACCTCTGGACTTTTGGTCAGCTTTAACCCAGTGATTTCTGTTATCTCCTTAAACACCATTTGCCAATTTTTATTTTTATTTTTATTTTTACATATTTATACTTCCACCACATGTGAACATAATTCCCTTTTTCCTGGCATCCCCTCCAACATAACACCGGATATTCCTTGTTTATTTGGTTTAATCTGACTGGTGTTAAATACTATCTCCAAATTGACTTATAATAATTTTGCTTTATTCTTACATTATTTTTAATATTCTGATACTCCCTCCCACCCATGTTTTCATAGAATTATAGAATCCTGTAATGCAAGAATCATGCACTTTGTGTTTGTTCTCTCTCACACAATACCAAAGTTACCGATATTTTGTGGCAGTGGTTTTCAAACTGCGTGCAGATCAGCACCATGCATTTAAAGTACATCTGACACACATTTAAAGCACATAACTGCCCCCAAAGAATCCTGGGAGTTGCAGTTTCCCCCTCATAGAGCTACAAATTCCCAGCATCCTTAACAAACTACAGTTCCCAAGATTCCTTGGGGGAACCAGTGTACTTTCAATGAGTGTGGGGTGTGCTTCAAATGGATAGTGTGGCTCCGCCTTGTGGGATAGGAGAAGACCTGGAATTGCTCAGTGCCTTATCTTGGGGTTCCTCCTACACAGGCGTACATATCGTTTCCAAGTTCACAGTCTGCAAAGCCAACGAAGTTCCCCAGACCAAAGTACTCTGGTTTCTGTATATTTCTAGACTCCAGCTTTTTCCAAGGTCTGGTTTATTTTGTTTTTGGCTACCTGAAAATCCACTTTGACTGCACAACTTCACTTTGATCTGGGCACAGGGCGGGCCGAGCCGTCAGGCAGCATAGGGCCCCGAGCCACCGTGTAAGTACCAGGCCCCGCGGTAAGTGCCGCCCCCATGGTTTGCCATTTTGTCACCCCCTCAGGGATTACACTGCACCCCCTGCACCCCCTTCCTACTTCTCCACCCCCATCATTCTGCCCAGACACTGAGGTTCAGCGTCGAGGGCCTTCTGGCGGTTCCCTCACTGCGAGAAGCCAAGTTACAGGGAACCAGGCAGAGGGCCTTCTCGGTAGTGGCACCCACCCTGTGGAATGTCCTCCCACCAGATGTCAAAGAGAAGAACAACTACCAGACTTATAGAAGGCATCTGAAGACAGCCCTGTTTAGGGAAGCTTTTAATGCTTGACAGACCACTGTATTTTAATACTTTGTTGGAAGCCTCCCAGGGTGGCTTGGGAGACTCAGCAAGATGGGCAGGGTATAAATAAATTATTATTATTATTATTATTATTATATTATTATTATTATGTCCCTGCTCATTGACACTAAGGACAGCCAGATCAGCAGCTCATTCCATCCCAATCACCCATCTCTGTCTTATGCTCTTTCCTAATCATGTTATTTTACCCCTATATAATTAGAATCTGAACCTTGCCCTATGAGCAAATAAGTCTCCTGAAATGCAATGACTGATTCCAAGAGTCAAAGCTTCATGTGGACTATATTGTGTAAGAATTAGGCTTGGCAGCACTGTAATCAGCACACTCTATTATCTTGTCTCAGTCAGTCTTTTGTGCCCCAGATCTTTTACATTGGGGTCCATTTTATCTATACAGGCCCCACACAGGCTTTTCGGATTAGCAGAAAAGCTCAGTTATCCAACCGCCAAACCATCTAAAGGCAGGGATGGATAGGGATGTGTGTGTGTTTAATGTCTTGTCATGTTTTTAGGTATGTTGGAAGCCACCCAGAGCGACTGGGGCAACCCATTCAGATGGGTGGGGTACAAATGCTAAACTAATAATAAATATTATTATGGAATAGGACGTCCCTATTTTCATTGGAGAAATGTTGGTGGGTACATGGCTCATGTACAGACAATGACCAATAAAGACATGTGACAGGGTATGGAAGTGGCTGGAAAAGGAGGCAGAAAAGAGGGTGTGAGTGGGCTTATGTCATGCACAATGGCCCAGAACACAACCCTCGTGCAAATCGGGGTTGCCTGAATTACCATTTCCTACTCGGAATGAAATAGCAAGCATATTGTAAATGCATGAACTGTGGCATAACACAGGAATGTCTTCTGTGGAAAGTTCATGGATCAATATTCCCAAATCCAGCCTAGATATCCAGTGGCTTCTGGATCTATGCATCCGCTATAGAAGAAATGTTCACAGTGCACATAAAATATGCATGTTACTTCCTGCGTGACTATCAGTCTTCACTTGCAAAATTTCAAGGGAGCACATAGAGGCGGTCCTAAATTTACAGTCTTTGATGCAGAGTTTGAAAATTGCTATATTCACCTGCACATCTCCCCCAACGCCTCCAACCATTGGATCTTCTTCTAAAACCTTGACCATTTCCACTGATGAAGCTGGATCAAGCATTGTATCAGAGTCGCAAACCTGTCCATGAGAAAAATAAGTAAATGTGGAATTAATAAAGGAACCAGAGTCAGCACTGCCGAAAACTATGTGTTTCAGAAATGGTGCGTTTCGAAACAAATCCTATCAAGCAAATCACAGGTTGTGGGACCCACGTTGGCAAAGCCAGTGTGGTGTAGTGGTTAAGAACAGTAGTCTCGTAATCTGGGGAACGGAGTTCGCGTCTCCGCTCCTCCACATGCAGCTGCTGGGTGACCTTGGGCTAGTCACACTTCTCTGAAGTCTCTCAGCCCCACTCACCTCACAGAGTGTTTGTTGTGGGGGAGGAAGGGAAAGGAGAATGTTAGCCGCTTTCAGACTCCTGAAGGGGAGTGATAAAGCGGGATATCAAATCCAAACTCCTCTTCTTCTTCAAAGCTTAGCAACACTTGCAAAACTTGAAAAAAGGTCACCCCATTCATATAAGGGGATGATGCCTTTGGCAGATTTCAAATTTTAACTGCAAATTTCAACTATGCACTTTTTCACATTGTAAGGCTTAAAGATTCTCTTTGTTTCCTCACATCTGACTCCGCTCGCTCTAAAACACTTCCCACCGGAATCTGCAATGTTTCTCCTTTTAAACCCTATTTGTGTCAAGCTAGCAGGCATACCCTTTAAATGTAACAGCAGTTGTGTGAGTACTGTGGCTATAAAGAAATGTCTGTTCTCAGAATCAGAGGTAGCACATTGGATCAACTTCTTTGAACAAGGACCGTGTTCATGAGATGAGGCATGGAGAAGAGTGTGTGTTTGTGTGTGTGTGCGTGTGTTGGGGGGGGGACGACTTTGCGGGTGTTCTGCACTTTTCCTGATCCCATTTGACAGAAGGAAACCGGATGCATTTGGTGCCCCCAGTTCAAAAGTTTCCCGCTGTCCTAAGGGGGGAATGAATGATGAGTGAACCTACAGATGCTTATAAAAATTGGCAGAGGATCTGGGAAGAAATACGATAGCCCCCTTTTTTTTTCACTCACAGAAGGTTTAGCCATTCATGTATATATGATTCCAGAAGCTGATTCTGCCAACCAGATCTCTTTGAACCTGCATTTCATGGAGCGCTCCTCATTCACAACATGCCTATAGAACTGTTTCTCATAATCGCACACTCGCATTTTATAGCATTTAATGTTGCTCTGCTTGTTGTTATTATGCTCTCGTATTGTTTCAAAAGGGATGCGGGTGGCACTGTGGGTTAAACCACAGAGCCTAGGACTGGCCGATCAGAAGGTTGGCGGTTCGTATCCCCGTGACGGGGTGAGCTCCCGTTGCTCGGTCCCTGCTCCTGCCAACCTAGCAGTTCGAAAGCACATCAAAGTGCAAGTAGATAAATAGGTACCGCTCCGGCGGGAAGGTAAACGGTGTTTCCGTGCACTACTCTGGTTCGCCAGAAGCGGCTTAGTCATGTTGGCCACATGACCCAGAAGCTGTACGCCGGCTCCCTCGGCCAATAAAGCGAGATGAGCGCCACAACCCCAGAGTCAGTCACGACTGGACCTAATGGTCAGGGGTCCCTTTACCTTTACCTATTGTTTCAAAGGATATTCTGATCTCATTTCTAGCATGTTTGAAATGTTCTGCAGGTATGGCTTTCTTCTCCTTTGAAAAGAGTTGTTGTTGAGTAAAATGATCATGGCAGCGGATGCTCACTTAAGGGCAGAAGACAGAGCAAAACCAGCACAACCGTGAGGCTGAGTGACATGGCTGCCTCAGGTGGCACCCCACAAGGAGCATCAGCCCCGTTCCGATGCCCGGTTTTGCTGCTGGTCTCCCCAACCTCTAGGGACACAGACTCACAGAATTGTAGCAACGCAGAAATCTCAGATAGAGCATCCATGACAGATGTACACCCAACCTCTGCTTAAAAAGGAAGGAGAGTCCACAACCTCCCAGGGGAGACTGTTCCACTGTTGTAACAGCTCTTATGGTCAGAAAGTTTTAGTCAGAAATCTCCTTTATTGTAACTTGAAACCAGTGGTTCGAGTCCTACCCTCTGGAGAAGGAGAAAACAAGCTTGTTCCCCCCTTCCATGTGACACTGAATGAATTTTCATGAGGATTGCTTTGAAAAATGCAAATGGCTGCAGAAATCTGGAGAAGCAAATTTAATATTGGAAAAACGAGCAACGGAGAGAATTGAAATTCAAAGTTCCTTCCACCCACTAATTGTTGCAAATGTTTCTATTCTAAGCGTTCTTCTAATGAGCTCTGGGTAACATTCACTTGGGCCTATCCTTCCTCCCCAGTTATCCTCAAAACAACCCTGTTGAGCTGACCAGTCATGACCAGATCACATAGTGAAACTTCGCAGATCAAGCAGGAATTCAAACCCAGGCCTTTTATCACCAACTAAACCAGGAGCAGGTCATAGACCTGACAGTGACCCTAGGTGAATCTGATAGGTCAAGGGACAGAGCCAAGGGTGGTGCTAAGAGGTTATAGGGGAGCCTGCTATAGTTTATTAGTATTTCCCATTCATTAGTTTCCCAGTTAGACCAATAGATTAATGGGTGGCAAGCAGTTCTATTCACAGCTGGCATGAAAGGCATGAATACTGAAATATGAATGTAAATACACCTTTCCCATTCACTAGATCTACAAATTTGTACCCTCTTCATTTAGAAGCACGGGGGGGGGGTTACAGTCACTTGCATATGGGCTTAGAGACCATTAGAGGTACCTTTTTGTCCATCTGGCAACAAAAACAGCCTTCAAAATGCTGATAAGGGGAAGAACCAGTTAGGGGTGTTAGTGCACCACAATGTGGCGATTCTGCTTTGCCTTGGACGTCAGGTGTGTCATGCGACAGGTACATTAACAAGCAAGCTCTGTGAAGCATTGGGTAGCCATATTCCCTGATATTTATGATAAATCTCACTTATTTGAAAGAGCTAATGTGGTGTCATAGGACCTGGGAAACCAGAGTTCTAATCCCTATTTTGCCATGGAGCTAGGAACAGGAAAGATCTGTCCATTTTGGTTTCTTCCGGTGTCCCTCCCCCCCCCCCCATTTTTCTCCCCATTTCAAAATTGGTTTACATTTTTTAAAAACCTCATGAAAAATTGTAAGCATTTTAGTGCAAATTTCTCCGGATAAGCACAGTTTTTGTATGCCCTTCTCCTCCTATGCATGATTTCACAATGCTGTTTTCCCCAACAGAATGTATGTTTCCATGCTATTTTCACTAATATAGAAATTTATATCCACACTTTACTATAGAAAACACATTTTTGTACAAATTACTTGGTGGGAGAACTGCGTTGCAAAATTCAGAGTGCTGTGAATTACAGAGGACAGCTATGTTTTGGTTTGTGTACAGTTTCGCAAAGTGCAATTTAGGTAAATTCACCTTTAAATGCGAACTGAATTCAATATTTCCCCCATCCCTACCTTGGCCTTAGGACGAGGGTGGCGCTGCGGGTTAAACCACAGAGCCTAGGATTTGCTGATCAGAAGGTCACAGTTCGAATCCCCGCGACGGGGTGAGCTCCCATTGCTCGGTCCCTGCTCCTGCCAACCTAGCAGTTCGAAAGCACGTCAAGTGCAAGTAGATAAATAGGTACCACTCCGGCGGGAAGGTAAACGGCGTTTCCGTGCGCTGTTCTGGTTTGCCAGAAGCGGCTTAGTCATGCTGGCCACATGACCTGGAAGCTGTACGCCGGCTCCCTCGGCCAATAAAGCGAGATGAGCGCCACAACCCTAGAGTCGGTCACGACTGGACCCAATGGTCAGGGGGTCCCTTTACCTTTACCTTGGGCTAGTCACCGGCTCTCAGCTCAACCTCTCTCACAGGGTTGCTGTGAGGATGCTATGGAGCATGGAAGAACCATATCTGCCACCTGAGGCTAGAAATGAAATTATAAATCGTGAATCAAAACATTAAAAAGCCCTCTCCCTCCCCCCCCCTTTGCCAGATGTATTGCTGGGATCCGAGGCCGTGATTCATTTTGTGAGAAACTCTGAGGCACTCATATGCAAACAGATGCTCTTGCTGCTCAGAAAGAGCATCTGAAAGGATTGGCAGAGTCTGCAAAAATGGAGAGATTTTAAAGCCCTATAAAAACTTGTTAAGAAGCAGGGAGAAGGCGGCGGTGGCTGGGTGGGGAGGAGGAGGGGAGCTTAGAAATACAAACAGGAGAGATCCCTCAGCCAAAGAGTGTTGGCTTCATCCTTTACAGCTGCATTACCTCACTCAAGGCAAAAGCTCGGCCTTTAAAGCCTCAGTGACACCGTTCACTTAAAAATGAATTAGGCAGCACCCACCCACCCCCTTTGCAAAGTACAAGCTGCAGGCAAGGATTATTTGCCAGCTGGGCTGCATCTGACATAGACATCCCCCCCCTTCCTTACTAGGCCTGGTAAAATGTAAGGGGCAAAAAGCTTACAAAGAACTAACTCACGCAGGCTACTTGTATTTATAATTGCCGTTGAGCTTTGGGGAGGAATACATGGGCGTGGGTTGCCCCCATTTTATCCTTTCAAAAACTCACGAGAGGTAGACTGGGGCCAAGAGACAGAAAGAGGGAGGGAGGGAAGGAGACAGAAAGAAGAATGTCCCAATAGGCCACATTCACATGTTTAAAGTACCACGATACCACTTTAAACCATCATGGCTTCCCCCAAATAATTATGGGAGCTCCTTGTTGTGGGTGTTGGGAGTGGTTAAAGAGGCCTCTACTCCCCTCACACCGAGCCACAGTTTCCCCTGATTGTTCAACCACTCTGAGATCTGTAGTTCTGCAAGGGGAATGAGCGTCTCCCAACATCTCTCAGCACCCGCAACAAACTACAGCTCCTAGTATTCTTTGAGGGAAGCCATGAGCGTTTTCTAGCGGCACTGTGGTCTAAACTACTGAGCCTCTTGGGCTTGCCAATCAGAAGGTCGGCGGTTCGAATCCCCGCGACAGGGGGAGCTCTTGTTGCTCTGTCCCAGCTCCTGCCAACCTAGCAGTTTGAAAGCATGCCAGTGCAAGTAAATTAATAGGTACCACTGCGGCGGGAAGGTAAACAGCGTTTCCGTGCGCTGCTATGGTTTCAGTGTTCTGTTGCGCCAGAAGCGGCTTGATCATGCTGGCTACATGAACCGGAAAAACTGTCTGTGGACAAATGCAGACTCCCACAGCCTATAAAGCGAGATGAGCGCCACAACCCCAGAGTTGTCTGCAACTGGACTTAGCTGTCAGGGGTCCTTTACCTTTTTATAGAAGTTTTACATATACAGTGGTACCTCTCTCTGGTTGCAAACAGGATCCGTTCCGGAGCCCCATTCACAACATGAGCAGAACGCAACCCGCATCTGCGCGTGTCACGATTTGCCACTTTTGCGCATGCGTGTGGCGTCATTTTGAGTGTCTGCGCATGCACGAGCAGCAAAACCTGGAAGTAACCCTTTCTGGTACTTCCGGGTCGCCGCGGGACACAACCTGAAAAGATTTAACCTGAAGCAAACTTAACAAGAGGTATGACTGTATGGTGTAAATGTTGGCCCCCAATGAGCTTCAGGGCTGAGTGAGGATTCAAAAGCTGATGTCTGCTACCAAAGTTCAAGGCTCTTCACTGTGGAGGAATGCAGATAGGCAGGCCCTGGTGTGAGACATTTGCGGCACAAAGACACTGCCACAGATTGACAGTGTGTTGGGTGTTCAAGGGACTGGGGTGAATTCTGTGTGGCAGGTGACTCCCATATCCTAATGACTGTGGTAGGGCCACTGAAGGCTGCTCCATAACCCCAATGGGGCAGTGCCCAAAAACCTCAACCTACCCCCCTGTCTGCCTCCTTATTTACAACCAGCCATGAGGTGGGGGTCTGCCGCTCATTGGCTCTGGTTTCCCATATTGTAGTCCCCTTGCCTTCTGCCTTACCAGCCCCACTGGGCACCAGTCACCACTGGTAGGAGCACCCAGGACCCAGGCTATGGTACAGATGCTAGGCTTCATCTCCTGGAACAGAGAGGAACACTTGAAGGAGCTGGGTATGTTTAGCCTGGAAAAGAGAAGACTGAGAGGAGAAATGATAGCCATCTTCAAATATCTCAAGGGCTGTGACATGGAAGACGGAGCATGTCTGTTTTCTTCTGCTCTTGAGAGTAGGACTCGAACCAATGGCTTCAAGTTACAAGAAAGGAGATTCTGGCTAAACATTCAAAAAAGGTTTCTGACAGTAAGAGCTGTTAAAGACAGTGGAACAGATTGCCACGAGAAACCGTGGACTCTTCTTCCTTGGAGGCTTTTAAACAGAGGTTGGATGGACATCTGTCATGGATGCTTTAGCTGAGATTCCTGCAGGGCAGGGGGTTGGCCTAGATAACCTGTGGGTCCCTTCAAGCTCTAAGATTCTATGACCTTTCTAAGAGAGACCTTATTTGCAAGCAGCAGCAACACGAATGAGGCTTTCAACAATTTGTAGATATAAACTAAGGCAGGTTTTTTTTTACACCAGTTAAGAAACTGGCCTAGTTAAATAACACAGTGAGGCAACTTCAATCCCATTGGATTGGGTACCCATTACAGTGGTACCTCAGGTTAAGTACTTAATTCGTTCCAGAGGTCTGTACTTAACCTGAAACGGTTCCTAACATGAAGCACCACTTTAGCCAATGGGGCCTCCTGCTGCCGCCGCCGCGCCGCTGGAGCACGATTTCTGTTCTCATCCTGCAGCAAAGTTCTTAACCTGAAGCACTATTTCTGGGTAAGCGGAGTCTGTAACCTGAAGCGTATGTAACCTGAGGTACCACTGTATATATTTTTTGCTTAAAAGCAACTGAGGCAGAAAAAGATTGCCAGAGATAGGGGGTTGGGTCAACCCCTTCATAACAGCATAGGACACTCTTGTACAGTCAGGTTATGGGACGATCTCGTCTACTATCATCTAAACTTGCTGCCACTGAAACACCTCCATAGGAGCCAGTTCCAGTGGGCCAAAGGTGCCCTGGCACCCACAATAATATGTAATTGGGGGTGTGTGTAAACACCCACAAAGTCAATGAGAAAAGCCGACAGGTGGCAGTGGTGCTGCCTCCGAGAGAAGCACTTCAGCTCCACCCTCTGCAACCATTGAGTGGGGCATCCTTTTCTGGGAATGGGGCTCAGATGTGGAGGCAGAGTCTCTGAGATCCTCCCTATGGAAAAGGGTGGCTCGCTGGCTGTGGGGAGGCATGTGTGTGTGATGTCACACCCACAATCCTGAGGGCAAGATTCTTCCCCCACACACACACACATCACCTGTGTTTCACACAGGAATCTCCTCCCTGGAGATGCTGGGTTTGAAACTATGACTTTTCTGCACAGAAAGCATAACCTTTCCCACTCAGTTCCAGCCTCTCGTCCCTTCCATTTCTCCATGTTAAATTGCTACTTCCTGTAGCTCAGCAAATCAGTCTCTTAAGCTTAAGCCAAGAAAGAGTATTCTCTAGAAGACTGAATAGCAATATACGTATCAAGACTTTGAGATTAGATCACTGAAGAAGCCCGGAAAACTATCTTGGGAGTTTGCTACCTGCAAGCCCCTGTAAAAGGGCCCCATTGGGGGCCAACATCGGCCTCTTGATTACTTGGACTGCCAGGGCGAAACAAGTGGAAAACGCCGGCACCCTGTCATCTACAACTTCATTAACATCTATCTACAACGCCACTAGCATCTCTCGGTACTGTGAATAACACCGAACTTACCTTTTGTTGGTATCTGCATGAACTTATCTAAAAGACGGAGTTAAGCATTTGAAAAACCTATTGAAACCAGACATTATAGGTTCATCTTAGGTTGGGTAGTTCGCAAGTCTCTGTGGCTTTGTTTAATGTTTTGTATTTTTCTCAGAAGGTTGATAAAGAATGTATAATTTATTACTCTGTGTATATTAATCGCCAACGTGTTGCATGAGTCGCACTACTTCCTGTAGCTCAGCAGTGGTGAAACCTCTGTACTGTGGGCGTAAATTGGGCCTGGTGTGAGTCCCAAGTTTGCTTGCTGAGCTGCTTCTGACAAACTGTGCCCTATACCCCATCATAGGTATGGGGAACAGCTGGGCACTTAAAATTGAAATCCAGAGTGTCCCTTTGTAAGTTGGACTTTTTGTTTCTGACTGGGAGCTTTGCTAGGATCAGCTGCAGTTCAGAGTTCCTCATCGGGAACTCCCTAGTATAGCTCCATCGCTTTTGCCTTTTGAAGGAATTGGCTTGAATTCAAGTAAGTTCCCAGAAACAGAGCATTTCCCCTAATGATGTAAGCTAATAGATAGTGGGAGATCCCCTCTGAAAAAGTTACGTGAGACAAGTAAATAGCAACCCACACTGAAACTGCAATGCTCTTCTTCAGACCAACAGCCCACTGAGAGTCTATAACTGCTGTCTTTGCAGTCTTATAACCCTGATTCATTCGCAAGCTGCTTCTGCTAGTAGCCATCATGCAGGTTACCAGCAGTGGTCAGCAAGGTAGGACAGTGGTGCTTACCTGACCTACTGTCACCTGCATCACTGCAGTGTACTGGGAAGGGTGAGATAGCCATGAATGAGTTGGCCGTGAGGTCAGCAGAATGCAAACGCACTTGGCAGCAGCGCAGGTTGGCTCTGCCAGCGCATTTGCACTGCGCTGGCCAAACCACCACCTCTCCCTTCTCCTTTTCAGTAACACAGGTGATAGGGCAGATAAGTGCTACCACCCCACCAACTGCTGTTGCGGGTTATGTAATTCAGCAAGTGATTAATCTACGGATTTAGAAACAACTGCCAATAAACAGATATGGTAAACAGAAGCATGTGTAAACAGAGGCAAAGAATCTATCCCTGCTTTAAAAAATATGACTGGGGAAAGAATATCATTTAGCGAAGAAATGGCTGCCACAATGTTTGTCCCAATTTCAAACTGGTGATGCTTCGGGGTCCAGGTAATCATAGATATCATTTGCAGGTTTTGGGGTGCTCCCCTTACCATATTCATTGCATACTGGACCATGAGTTAAGGTCCAGTATGCAATGAATATGGTACGGTAATCTCTTTGTGAGGTTAGGCATTGAGGTTGGGCATTGGGTAAGCCTTTGTTTGGATGGAGGGGAGGTTGTAGCCTTTGCCTGCCCCTCCTCAGTAAGGGTATCCTGTTAAAGGAATCCGGGGGTGTGGATTCTGTCCGATTCTGTCGGACGTGGGCTAGGGCCATGTCACAACCCCAGTAGGAACCCCTTGGGGTGCCCCTATTTGATGTACGTCATAGGGCTCCCCCTATTGGTGGTTTACTCTTAGATGGACTTCCTGCAGGCAGGTTGGAGTAGAGATCTAGCCTGGCTTCACCCAATGCCTAAGCCAAACTGCTCACATCTGTAATAAAGTTGTGGCCTATTTGAACCCATAAACCAAAATACTCGTGTCCATGTGTTTATTGTCCATTAGGGAACTGCGGGTCACGGGGCCTTGGCACATAAGTGCCACACACATACCCCAGTGCACTGGTGTCTGAATTTGTTATGGTTTGTGAACACTTCTAAGTTAAGTAACTGCACAGCTCAGTGTCAGATTCTGCCCATCCCCTTAAAACTGGCCCTCCACCAGCATGACGTGTTACTGTGTACAATCTAACCAGCCTTAACTATTTCAGAAGCTAAAGCTTTTCAACAGCCCTGCTGTTTTCCAAATGGAGAGTGAAAGGGGCGCTCTGTTCACTGAGGGACTAGGATAGGCTACGCGCTGCAACGTCCAGCACAAGATGTACAAGACCTGCTTTCTTTGGAGGCTTGTTTTACTTGGCAGTGAAGAAGGGCTTTTTCATACCTACCTGCACATAATCCACGCTTCTCCCCAGTGCTTTGAATGCTGTGTACATCACTTCTCTTTTCCCGCCCCATTTTTGCATGATGCAGACACTTTTGTTGGATAGGACAAGTTGAGTGACTTGCTGCATGCTCTCTTTATGCGACTCTTCCGTCTCCTCGGGGCCTCTCTGGTGGAAGTTATTCCTCCAGACGTAAGTAGCAGACTTATCCCTGCCCATGATTTCGCTAAAAATGTCCATCATGTAAACGTCATCTTCAGAATTCCCATCGATGACCATAATCACCTTAATTCCAGGGTAGGTGAGCCTTTTCACGGAAAGTAAACATTTCCTTAAGTAGTTGGGGTCCTCCTGGTAGGCAGCAATGCAAAGGGCAACAGTTTTGTTCAGCTTGATGGGCGTCTCAAGAGACCGTTTCATTTTCCTGTGTTCGAGGAAGGCAAACAGGCTTTGGATGATGAGGTGCGAAGCCAGAATGGCACCGTAGAGTCCAAAGGAGAAGTAATAGTTGTCCGTTTGGATAAACTGGTAGCCAACAATGTAAGCAGCGGAGATCCCAAGCAGGAGGGACACCCCAAAGAGTGTGGTTCCAAGTATTCTCAAGATACATAGAAACCTCTCGCAATGCATCTGCAATGGATCAAGACAGGTCATGGTTACTTAAGCATACTTCTGGATAAAAGAGATGATCGGGTTAGTTTAAGGCAGGGATAAGGAAACCTGTTGGGACGCAGGTGGCGCTGTGGGTTAAACCACAGAGCCTAGGACTTGCCGATCAGAAGGTCGGCAGTTTGAATCCCCGCGACGGGGTGAGCTCCCGTTGCTCAATCCCTGCTCCTGCCAACCTAGCAGTTCGAAAGCACGTCAAAGTGCAAGTAGATAAATAGGTACCGCTCTGGCGGGAAGGTAAACGGCGTTTCCGTGTGCTGCTCAGGTTCACCAGAAGCAGCTTAGTCATGCTGGCCACATGACCCGGAAGCTGTACGCCGGCTCCCTCAGCCAATAAAGCGAGATGAGTGTCGCAACCCTAGAGTCGGCCACGACTGGACCTAATGGTCAGGGGTCCCTTTACCTTTAAGGAAACCTGTGACACTTGTTGGACTCCAACTCCCTAGCTGATGTATTCAATAGTCAGGGATGATGAAAGATGGAGTAGCAGTGGACTGCATGGCAAGGCTACACTGCTTACCTGATCTTCCTCTGCCTGAGTTGCTGTTATATTCTTGGATACGGGGGCAGTGAGGCTGGTGCGGTGCAAACAGGCAGATGGGAGCACTAGGTAGGCTCCACCTGTGCATTTGCACTGAACCCACCACAACATCTCCCCCTTCCCTTCTCCATCCTGGGATGCAGCATCGACTCAGCCACAGGGAGGTCAGGTAGCCTCACCAACAACATCTGAAGGACCACAAGTTCCCCACAGCTAGATAGAGGGAAACAGGTTTATGACACCAAAGACACAGCTATAAGCTGCAAGTTATAGCTTCCAGATTCCGATTGAGGGGGGGACATATGTAATATTGAAAAAACAGGGAGCAATAATGGTAGAATCATTGCAAACAATCATGTGCAATCTGGTTATAGTTCTACTCAAACTACATAAAATGCTGGCGCGTATTTATCTATCTTGGATGCTGCATTAACAACGGAGCCAAATGAATCATGTTTTGAGCTTATAAAAAGCTACTTCTTCACCATGAGAAATGTAGTTCAAAATTCCCAAAGCGTTTCTATAGAATATCTTGGGAAATGTTAGGTTTTATCAATAAACTTTTGTACTTGCTACTTAGTCCTGTCTGATACCTGTTGATTGGATCTTGTGCTACAAGCCCAGGCAATAATCACCAGATAAACCATTGCTTTGTTATGGGCTCCATGGTGGGATGTGATGGTCTTTCATATGTTGGACAGTGGCAACAAGGTAATTGCAACTGTGTGTGCCAAGGGAACATAGCAAGTCTCAGGTCCCTGCATGTCTACTTAAAATGCCTTGCAAATAAGAGCAAAAGCGGGGGGGGGGGAATGCAAGTCACTATCATTCACCCTTGATTCCCCCCATTTGATGTTCTGCTCCCCTACAAATGTAAGGGCTCTAAATGACCTGGGTTTATCTGGATCAGCACCACGGTGCCTCACACCGCATTGTTTTCTTAGGTCAACGTGACCTGGTTCATGTAGGGTACAACCAGAGGACAATTGAAAGCAGCTGCAGAGAAGACGCAAGCAAACTATATTTCTGGATGCAATTCTGCTTATCTCCTCGGAAACAGATGTGCATTAAGGGTCCTTTTTACGGCTGTATTTTATGTTGCACAGACCAAAATGCAAAACAAGAAAAACACACTAGTGGATAATGGCTCACTTAAGCTGGAAATTGCCAATTCCTACAAACTATGGTGTATCTTATCCCTCTCCCCATATGACTACACCTCTTATTTATGGACTTGAACCAGGATTGTCTACCTAGGAGATCCTTGATCCCCTAAGGAATCAAGTTAGGAGATTGAACCAAGGACTGGCAGATCAAACATTTTGTCCAAGGAATAGAAATTGGCAGTGGCCGCAGTCTAAACCCATTCAGTGGTGCCACATTGCATGGCTCAATTCCAGGGTGCTGTCCCTTTAAATTATCTTTCCCATTTGGGATGTAACTCCTGTAGTCTCTGGGAGCTCTCCCTGGTCCTGCAGTACCAAGATGTAACAGAACCAGCTGCTTCTAACTACCTCTTGTAGTTCATAGAGTTTTGGAAGGGAATTCAAATGTCATCTAGTCCAACCCTTGCTGATGTAGGAACTCTGCTGCTAGAGCATCTCTAATAAGTGGCCATCCAGCTTCCATTGAAGGTTAGACCAGCACTATTTGAAGCAATCAGGTCCACTGTTGAACATCTTCCTAATGTTTAGTCTAATAAATCCCTTTGACTTGGGTACCACCCTCGTGAGTTGACGGAAAACATATCTGATCATTTTATATGACAGTTTTTTAAAAAAAGGTTTTCATATAGTCTTTTAATCATATCTTGCAACTCCTTCAACCTCTCTCCATAAGATTAGATTTCCACTCCCTTTTCTGCATCATTGCCACTCTCCTCAGGACACATTCCAGTTTACTGATATCAGTCTTAAACCGTGGTGCTCAGAACTGGGCGTAGTACTCAAAGTGTAGTCCGACAAAAGTAGAATAGAGGGGTACTCAATACTTCTTGAGATCTAGATACTATGCTCCCATTAAGGCTTCTTGTTAGATTCCTGACCTAGAACTGCTAAGTCCCAATGCATGTGTAATAAAAGAGTTGTCCTTTTCATAGCCTTCCTAGTACCTATAAATTGCATATACAAGGAATATACAGTGTAGCAGCAAACTAATGTGTGCAATTTCCTAGTTCAAAGTTCATCACAGCAATCAATTCACAAGGTGTTTCGTATGATTCACTGTTTTCTTGGTCTCAACGTTCCCTCCACAACATGGGGATAAAATTTGCCTGCCTTACAGGACTGTAAGAGGGAGAACTGAGAAAATGTATGTTAAATGCTTCGTACATTTGAAATGCACCATACCTGTATTACGTTACACACCAGCAAAACAATATTTGAGATGAAACCCAGCCTTTCTTGGGTATGGAATTCCTATTGTTATGCTTTCATGAATTTTAAATATAAACCACCTAGAGTGACCCCATATTTTTTCAAGCCTAAACACACACACACAGTTTATAAGCTCCCTTTAAAAACAAAACCCTAGAGCAATCATTTTTCCAAGGTGACAAAACCATGAGCAAGAGTTCCAAAAATTCGTACACTTGTCAGTCGGCTGTTACAAGTGTCTCGGAAAAGTTGTACAATATCCTCCAGCTTCAAGTCTTAACTTGCTAGAGAAATCTTGAAGCGCAAAGTGACTTCATCAGCTGTGCTGTTCTTCCGTGTTGCTTATACTAATATTAGAAGGTCTTTTTTAAAGAGAGAGAGAGAGAGAGAAAGGAGGTGTCAGACTATATATAGGCTGAGCCCTTTCAGAACTTGAAATAGAATCTGGCAACTTTTGGCATCCTTAGCTTGTCTGTCTCTGGAATCTCCGTAATGCTAAACTCCGCAAGTTATGCATGATCTAACAAGAATGCAAGACTTAACAAGTGAACAAGATGCGAAGGCACCACAGTAATAAGCAAAGTGTATATATTAAAACCTTTCCAGGAACAGAGAGACTTGCCGTTTAGCACTGTGCATCTTTACTCAGAAATTCATTGCACAATGCTCAATGGGGCTTACTCCCAGGTCAGTATGCATAGCATTGCGTAAAGGTGGGGATAATTTCAACAGGCCTTACCTCTGAGTAAAGATGCATAGATTTGCATTGCATGGGGGGTGGGGAGAGACAGTATCTCAGAAAGTTCTGCTTTAAACCTGGGTTGCATTTCAATAGGGCAAGACTTAGCACAACCCTTCAAGTCCACTCAGCCTAGACAAGTCTATTCAAAGGAGTTCAATGGAACGGTCTCCCAGAAAACTGGCTATAGGCTGCTTATATGGGCCTGGATCTGTGAGTGGGTCACAGCAGAGGCATCAGCAGCAAGTGACATACTCCTCAGACCCCAGGGTTAGAAACTCAGATATATAAGTTAGGTACTAACCAGGATTACAGTCACCAAAACAGAATGCCTAGTTGTTATTTTGGGGCCAGACAGCTCAAAGACCGTATTTTCCAGTATGACTTTTTGGTTCCTGAAATTCATTCTGATTGTGCAGATAAAATGTAACAGATAGAATTCTACAGGATGCGATATTTGTGTGTGAAAACAGTCAAGATCCAAGGATAAAAACAGTGGGGAGGAGGAAAAGGAAGGTGGTAGTTAGGGGTGGGTAATCTTGTCAATTTCAGGTTCTCTCGTCTTCTCATTTCTCCAATCCTAAATTCAGTTTTCCACATTTCCACAACGATTTGTCAATCTTCTATTTAAAAAAACCTCATGCAAATTTATCCTACTATACAATTTTGTGTGCAATTTTGCCCAATGTAATGCATTTCTGTATGCAGTTTAAAGTAATATACAGTGGTACTGCGGGTTAAGTACTTAATTCGTTCTGGAAGTCCGTTCTTAACCTGAAACTATTCTTAACCTGAAGCACCACTTTAGCTAATGGGGCCTCCTGCTGCCGCTGCACCGCCGGAGCCTGATTTCTGTTCTTATCCTGAAGCAAAGTTCTTAACCTGAAGCACTCTTTCTGGGTTAGCGGAGTGTGTAACCTGAAGCGTATGTAACCCGAGGTACCACTGTATGCCTCTTATGTAATCTTTGCCATAGTATATGAATTTTGTACACATTACGTGAAGACTGGACAGCTAAGTTGAAAAATTCAGAGAAGTGTGAATTCCAAAGGGTTGCTGTGTTTCGGCTCGCATTGTTTCAGAGTGTTAATTAGGCAGGTTTGCCTTTAAATGTTAACTAAATCAAATTTCTCCGCCATCCCTAGGTGGAATAGACCCCCTCCTACATTTCAAACATTTTTATTTGGCATGTATCCTCAGCTCTCATATATAGCAATCAAACACCAGACTTCAAACAATACAGGGAGGGAAAAGGTACCATATGTACCAGTTCAGTGGCACCCAGGGTTGCGTATAATTTTTCTTAGCTTTCAGCAAACATCAAATAAGGGGAAGAACTAGGAGCCTAGCCAAGTCACCATCATTCCTTCATTCAGATTAAGATTTTCCAGCAACTTCTCTGGCTACAATAACTTCCAATTATGATGTGATGCATGCAGTGGTACCGTCATGTCAGCCAAGCTGTGCAAGCAACTGAAGTCATTGCTTGGAACAGCAATATTGCAAGCTGCATGCAATCTGAAAAGAGCAGCCCAGAATCGCCTGCAGTTTCAAAGAGGATACTGTAGAATGCTTTTCCCAGGGAGGTTCGGCTGGCGCCTTCATTATACACCTTTAGGTGCCAGGCAAAAACCTTTCTCTTTAACCAGGCCTTCAGCTGATTGACAGCTGAAGCCCTTTTAAAATGTGTTTTGGAAGGGGAGGTTATTGGGTTTTTGCTTTTATTATGTATTTTGTGTTTTTATATTGTGACTTTATGTTGTGAATCACCCTGAGACATGCAGATATAGGGCAGGATACAAATAAATACAGTCGTACCTTGGAAGCTGAACGGAATCCGTACCGGAAGTCCATTCAACTTCCAAAACATTCAAAACCAAAGCGCGGCTTCTGATTGGCTGCCAATCTGAAGCCATGGAAGCCCTGTCGGACGTTCGGCTTCCAAAATAGTTCGCAAACCAGAATAGTCACTTCCGGGTTTGTGGTGTTCAGGAGCCAAAACGTTCAAGAACTAAGTTGTTTGAAAACCGAGGTATGACTGTAATAGTTCAGTTCTTCAACTCCATGGATGGTATTCAACTTAAGTTTTACTCAAGAGTCCCACCTGCTGAAATTAATGAACATGACTAAACTAGGTCCATTGCTTTCAATGGGTCTACTGCAAGTAAAGAAATGACTTCAGCTTCGTGCATAGCTTGGCTGGCCATGTTTGATCACAGCCAATGGTGGTTGGTGCCCACTAGATGGAGGGGGCAAACAGCAGGGAGACCATCAGTAGGTGGAATCAGGGTCAATTAATTCTTGACTGCCCCCTTCCTTCTCACAGCTGCATACTACAAGGGCAACAACTCTAAAAACATAATACAGTGGTACCTTTGGTTGTGAATGGGATCTGTTCCAGAGGCCCGTTCGCAACCTGAAAAGAACACAACCCGCATCTGCGCACGTGCAGGTCGCGATTCGCTGCTTCTGCGCATGCGCATGACATAATTTTGCACGCCTGCGCATGCGCGAGCAGCGAAACCCGGAAGTAACCCTTTCTGGTACTTCTGGGTTGCCACGGGATGCAACCTGAAAATGTGCAACATGAGGTATGACTGTATGAGCTTGCTGGATCAGCCCAATGGCCCATCTAGTCCATCATCCTGTTTTCACAGTGGCTGAATAGTTGTTTGTGGGAAACCATCAAGTGGGATTTGGGCAAAAGAGCCCTTTGCCCTCCTGTGGTTTCCAGCAAAGGGAAGCAGAGCATAGCCATCATGGCTAGGTAAAGGGACCCCTGACCATTAGGTCCAGTCGTGGCTGACTCTGGAGTTGCGGCGCTCATCTCACTTTATTGGCCGAGGGAGCCGGCGTACAGCTTCCGGGTCATGTGGCCAGCATGACTAAGCCGCTTCTGGTGAACTACTACTTGCACTTTCACGTGCTTTCAAACTGCTAGGTTGGCAGGAGCATGGACCAAGCAACGGTAGCTCACCCCATCGTGGGGATTCGAAGCACCCACCTTCTGATCTACAAGTCCTAGTCTCTGTGGTTTAACCCACAGCGCCACCCGCATCCCTAGTAGCCATGAATAGGCCTCTCCTCGAGGAATTTGTCTAATCCATTTTTAAAGCCATCCAAGTGGGTGGCTGTCACTGCCTCCTGTGGGAGTGAGTTCCACAGTTTAACTATGCGCTGCCTAGAACGCTCGTACCTACTGGACCGCCTCTCCTGGTATGTCCCATGGAGGACCTTACGGTCTTCAAATAAAAGCATCTTGGAGATCCCGGGCCACAGGGAGGTTAGGCTGGCCTCGACCAGAGCCAGGGCTTTTTTGGCTGTGGCCCCAATCTGGTGGAACGCTCTGTCACAAGAGACTAGGGCCCTGTGGGACTTGACATCTTTCTGCAGGGCCTGCAAGACAGAGCTGTTCCACCAGGCCTTTGGCCAAGGCATAGTCTGACCCCATCCTTTGGTAATCCTCATAGAACTCCAGCCCAATGGTTGCCATTAATTTGACTCTGAATTGTTTTTAGAATGTATTTTGATTAATCGATTGTGATTTTATGTAAACTGTATTATTTTTACTGTTGTTAGCCGCTCTGAGCCTCGCTTTGGCTGGGAAGGGTGGGATATAAATAAAATGTTATTATTATTATTATTTTGTCTGTCCCAAATCTTCCAATACTTGAGACTAAGGAGGAGGCTGACAGTCAGTGCCACCCTCTGGACTGGTTACAAGTAAGAAGGCAAGCAAGATGGCCAGGACTGGTGGATAATGGAGGAGCCCTAATGGAGAATTTCAATGAATTCTGAAGTGCACATGTAATGTGCCCTTATATACAGTCTCTGCAGCATAATCTTACTTGTTTTATCAGAACAAGAGTTCCACCAAGTTCAGTGGGACTTCCTCTCTTTAGAGGGATGTGGGTGGTGCTGTGGTCTAAACCAGCTGAGCCTCTTGGGCTTGCCGATCGGAAGGTGGGCAGTTAGAATCCATGTGACGGGGTGAGCTCTGTCTGTTGCTCTGTCCCAGCTTCTGCCAACCTAGCAGTTCGAAAGCACACCAGTGCAGGTAGATAAATAGGTACTGCTGCGGCGGGAAGGTAAATGGCGTTTCCGTACACTCTGGTTTCCATCACGGTGTCCCATTGCACCAGAAGCGGTTTAGTCATGCTGGCTGCATGATCTGGAAAGCTGTCTGTGGACAAACGCCGGCTCCCTCAGCCATGAGTGCCACATCCCCATAGTAGCCTTAGACTGGACTTAACCGTCCAGAGGTCCTTTACCTTTTTACCTTTACCTCTCTAATGCAGAGTTTAGGGTTGCTGCCTTAGCTAGGAAAACATATGTGTCACATGGTTAGACTTTTTCAAATGAAATGTATTCCTAAACCGAACTCTGGCAGTGTAGCCAGACCCATCCCCAAACTTCTGCCCCTTTCCTCATTATTCACATTTTCCTTACATTCACTATTTTCTGTGTGCATGCTGATAATATTCAGCACACCATCTGTTGGCCACATCTGATTTGGAACTACACCCTCTGACATCATTATATGCTTGAGGACCATCCCTTTGAAAGGCTGGGAAAAAAGATTTTCTACTTAACTATAGCCATACAACACTCATCAACTGTTTACATTTCTGTCTTACAGGGCTTTACAGCATGGGGGAGGGGAGGATGGGGGCTACACCCTTTTATAACTTAGAAAAGGACGTATTCAATCACTTCTAGCAGATCACAAGGACAGGAGTCAAAGAGAAAGGAATCCTTTTTAGAGATTTTAAAGTTAAGAGTGGGGGAGGTTTAAAGAAGGCAGTAAGCTTGCTTTCATGTACAGCTTCAGAGAGAGAAAGCTTATTCCAGATTCTGTAATGGAGACACATTCTTAAAAGATCTAAACCCTTGGTCTGGCAGGATCTACAGAGTCACACCCTAAAATGTGTCGCCAGCAGTTTGAAGTTTCAAGGCTGTTTCTTACACGTCTGTGTCCATCACTTGGCTTCTCACTGCCAGATGACGGAGCAGCTGGACATGTGAACTGGCTCCATTGAAAACAATTATGCAGTGGCATAGCAAGGTCAGGTGGTACCCGGTGTGGAAAATTTATTTGGACTCTAGTTGAAATCTGGTTGGACTCCCAAGAGACTGCCATCTACTCACAGTATAAAAGGACTGACTGTGATCTACCTATTATCATTGCAAGGAGTTGTTGAGCTTTCTTTAGGGAAGGATTGGCCAAGGTTGTTGAGCTTTTTGTGGTTCCAAGGTTTGGGTCCTGAGTTAAAGGACCTTTTGCTTCTTGTCAGGAGGTTGAATCCTGACAAGACAGAAGTACTGTTTTGGGGGGACAGGAGGCGGGCAGGTGTGGAGGACTCCCTGGTCCTGAACGGGGTAACTGTGCCCCTGAAGGACCAGGTGTGCAGCCTGGGAGTCATTTTGGACTCACAGCTGTCCATGGAGGCGCAGGTCAATTCTGTGTCCAGGGCAGCTGTTTACCAGCTTCATCTGGTACACAGGCTGAGACCCTATCTGCCCGCAGACTGCCTCGCCAGAGTAGTCCATGCTCTGGTTATCTCCCGCTTGGGACTACTGCAATGCGCTCTATGTGGGGCTACCTTTGAAGGTGACCCAGAAACTACAACTAATGCAGAATAAGGCAGCTAGACTGGTGACTGGGAGTGGCCGCCGAGACCCCATAACACCGGTCTTGAAAGACCTACATTGGCTCCCAGTACGTTTCCGAGCACAATTCAAAGTGTTGGTGCTGACCTTTAAAGCCCTAAATGGCCTCGGGTCCAGTGTATCTGAAGGAGCGTCTCCACCTCCATCTTTCTACCTGGACACTGAGGTCCAGCGCCGAGGGCCTTCCGGCGGTTCCCTCACTGTGAGAAGCCAAGTTGCAGGGAACCAGGAAGAAGGCCTTCTCGATAGTGGTGCCCGCCCTGTGGAACACCCTCCCACTAGATATCAAAGAGAACAACAACTACCAAACTTTTAGAAGACATCTGAAGGCAGCCCTGTTTAGGGAAACTTTTAATGTTTGATGTATTACTGTATTTTAATATTTGCCAGCAGCTAGGGAGCATGAGGCTATCAAAACGAGGAGGGAAGGCTGCCAGAGTAGGGGTAGGTGGGAGTCGCGGGCAGACGGTGCATCAAATGTCGCCCCCCTCAGAGTTGACACCTGGGGCAGACCGCCCCCACCTTGCTCCGCCCCTGCTGTTATGCATTGGATAAAGGGGTGATGGGCAATCTGTCTTGCGATGTTCTGTATCTGTGGTGGTTCATTGACACACCGCTTGATGCTGCAACCATCTACAAAAACCAGAATCAACAACCACCCCCAACCCAACTCAATCCATTAAGAATGTGGGCATATTGAAGCAACTACTTTACTAAGAAGACCATGACTATATTAGGATCATAGAATTGTGGGGTCAAGGGTCACTTAGCCCAACACCCTGCAATGCCGGAATCACAGCTATCAGAACCCAAGCCAACCAGTCCTGTGCATCATCATCATCATCATCATCCAAGTCATCCTGTAAGATCCTAGAGCCGTTTGCAGCATAATCTGACAAAATACAACATCACAGAACAATAGCCCCCAAAGGCTCCTAACCAAACACATCATTAGCAGATTCTGTATAGCAGCAGACAAAATAAGAGCTACCAGAAAGCATCATAAGGAGGTTCCAGATCAACAGAGAAGCCACAGGGAGAGGAAGGTGAAGCCTGAAGTCCTACCTGAAAATAAACCCAGTTGAACTCAGTAGACCATAGCTGGGAAACTTGTGGCCCTCCAACCTCCATCAGTGACAACCACCACAGCCAAAAGGCAGGGATGATGGGATCTGCAGTCTAACAACATCTGTCCACAAGAGAGTTTGCTCAGAAATGGCTTGTGAGGTTGGGCAGAGCTGCTGCACCAGCTTCCCAGAGGGTGGGCCCCTGGAGCAGAGGGAGACTTTGGCCTTTCAAATTTCAGTGGCACCCTGTGCAAGGCTAAAATGGGGTGTGTCCCACTTCTCACCTTCTATTATGCACGTGCACCACGTCATAGTTGCAGCCACCCCCGTGGCTCAGTGCCCAGTGTGGGGACACCGGTTGCGCTGCCCTAAATCCACATCTGACTGGGGTTTACCAGGATGGAGAGGAGCAAGGTGGCAGAGAGAGCTAGGCGTGGTGCAAACACATTGGCAGGAGTACCAGATTCGTTCTGCCAGTGTGTTTGCACCATGCCAACATCCCCACAGCCTTCCCCTCCCGGTTAGCAACAGTGACTCTCTGCCAAAAATCTAGCATAGCAGCTATGCTCAACTTGGTGACATGTATGCCAGGGGTGGCCCATCCTGTTTTGCCGCCAGAGGCAAAATGGAAAGGTGCCATCCCCCCGCCGCTGCCCCCTCTGGCCTTCCTTGCCAGGGTTGTGTGGCAATGGCTTCTGGAGAGAGATCAAGATCTTACAGAGCTCTCGCAAGATATCACAGCGCTCTCGTGAGATCTCCCCAGAAGCTGCCACTGTGGCTTCTCCCCGCTTTGGTACATATGGATAAGCACTACTGGTGGAGAAGCAGGGGGCACCCCAAATCTGTATAAGTTAAAAGGGTTATTAGCTTGAGCCAAATGGTCATGTGAAAAAAGGCCCCGGGTGTAGCTGATTAAGCCCATAGTTTCAAATGAATCAAAACAACCTGACAGATGTAATTTGGACTGCCTTGAACTCAGTGGGAGATTTGCCACATACTTAAAAGCACAGCAAAAATCTGTGGGAAATTCTTTGACTTCGGTAGCTTGATATGAGAGTTTAGCCAAAGACTGTAGACTTTGCAGCAATGTGACAATTAAGAGATCCCTGCTGCTTGCGGTTGCTTTACAGTTAAGCATCCTGTAGGACTTACAGTAATCTCTGTATCTCACTCACTCTTTCTCTCTTGTTCTCCCTCCCTCCCTCCTAGCTGTCAATCTTTCCTTTTTTGCGGGAATTTCCCTTATTCCAGCGCCGTTTCCCGCTGCTTCCCACTGCTATCCCGGATTGTTAGATATCCCATAGACTGTCCCCGGGACAGGTGAGGTTGCCGATTCCTTATTTTCGAGGCTGCTGATCCCTTATTTTCAAATCTGAAAGTTGACAGCCATGCCCTCCCTCCCCACGCACCCCCAACCTGGCACACAGAATTCATTTATACAAAATACATGTTGAAAGCATGATACCTGGATAGCTCAGCTGGTAAGAGTGTGGCGCTAATAATGCCAAGGCTGCAGGTTCAATCCCCTTCCAACTCTAAAAAAAATATATGATTCGTTTTTCTGCATTTAATTTCATTCCAACCAAATGGAAAGTGTTCACAAGGACATAGGAATTGGCTTGTGGGGAGTAGGCAAGATGAGGTGCCTACGTCAGGCAGCAGATGCTGGGGTTGTGTGGTAGGCCTCCACTAGAGACAAACCCCCAGCCTTTCCCCCTCTGTAATTATCTACATCGACTGGCAGTGGCTCCCCAAGATTTCAGACCATTACTTTGGAGATGCTGAGGTTTGAACCCGGGTCTTGTGGTGTAGTGGTTAAGAGCAGTAGTCTCGTAATCTGGTGAACCGGGTTCGCTTCCCTGTTCCTCCACATGCAGCTGCTGGGTGACCTTGGGCTAGCATGGGCTAGGCACACTTCTCTGAAGTCTCTCAGCCTCACTCACCTCACAGAGTGTTTGTTGTGGGGGAGGAAGGGAAAAGGAGATTGTTGGCCACTTTGAGACTCCTTAGGGTAGTGATAAAGCGGGATATCAAATCCAAACTCCTCTTCTTCTACTACTAGCTACCTTCATGGGCTGAGGTGACCACTCTCTCCCCTATACCTGGAGGTGCTGGGGACTGAGCCAGAGACCTTCCACATGCAAAAGCTCTGTCACTTGCCGCAATGCAATCCATCAGCGCACAAGCTAAATTGATATCCCCAAGCACTTTCCCAATCTGTCCCACTATTAAGACTGAAATCTCGAGTTGCTTTGCCCAGAATCCTGAACACAGCTGAAGCCAACGGGTTTTCAGCAATGTAGCCTTGGGCAGGACTGCAGTCATAGCGAAACACGGACATTTGATACAGGACTTTGAAACCGGGGCCTTTGCTATCTGATGCCCAGGATCTGATAGTTAAAAATCGGGACCGGATTGTGGCAGCCAATGCTGCTGCTGTGGCTGCTGCTTGGCACCATTCCAGTCACCAATCTGCTCGTTACAAATTTGATAAGCCTGCAAGAGGAAAGACTTGGTGGCTGGAACAATTCCAAATAGCCAGGAAATCCCACTTGAGGTCAAAAACAGCCACAACTGGAGAATTCCTCACTCACTCGTCTAGCCAATACAGGCTTTAACCCCCCCCCCCCAAAAAAAACCAAACTGGAAACCTAAGGACTCTTGTTCTGGTTCAGGTTCAGGTTCAAATAATGACTGTCAAACAATGGCTCAGGTTGGGTGAAATAATAATAATAATAATTACTGAAGTCTTGGGGTTTTTTGCTTTTTTCTGTTCTAATTTCATATTGAGGAGCTTTCAGAAGTGATCTCAAAATGACTGCAAGCTAGCCAGGGGTTGGGGAACAAGTGGCAAAGCCCTGGAGCAGATACGGGAGATTGGCACTTGCTAGAAAAGGAGTATCAGGTTAACACCTGTTACTTTCAACCCACTTAGAAAATGAACTGGAATGGACCACAGTCCACGAATGCCTCTCCTATAGTACTGGATTCCCTGCATTGCCCGGGCTTTGACTAGATGAATACACGAAGGACTAAATGATTCTATGTAAATGAGTAAAGTTTCAAGACCAGGAGCAGCATAAATACGTCACATGACTTAAACCACTGAGTCTCTTGGGCTTGCTAATCTTAAGGTCAACAATTCGAATCCGTATGAGGGGCTGAGCTCCTGTTGCTCTGTCCCAACTGCTGCCAATCTAGCAGTCCGAAAGCACACCAGTTCAAGTAGATAAATAGGTACCGCTTCGGCAGGAAGGTAAACAGTGTTTCTGTGTGCTTTGGTTTCCGTCACAGTGTTCCATTGCGCCAGAAGTGGTTTAGTCATGCTGGCCACATGACCCGGAAAGCTGTCTGTGGATGAATGCCAGCTCCCTTGGCCTGAAAGTGAGATGCGCGCCCGCAACCCCATAGTCTCCTTTGACTCGATTTAACCACCCAGGGGTCCTTTACCTTTACTGATTATCTTTATTCTTCTACCCAATTATATGCTTCTCCACCTCTGCCTAAAGATCTCCCTCACATGACTTGACTTATTCTCCTCTCAGACTGCCTCTTTTCCAGGAACAGCCTCCTCAAATTCAAGACATGATTCTCTATTGTGCCAGGAACCAGTCAGATGAACCAGAGATCTGCTGCATCCTTCAGCTTCCAAAAAGCTGTAGGAGGAGTTTCAGAGGGTGGTCATCTCTACATTCACACTTACTGTATTTACATTCGAACCGTACGCAGGCACCTGTAAATTATAACATTAGCCGATTGCTACATTAGCCGATTGGCACCCCCATTTCTGGGAAGCTGGCTGAGACTTAATTTTGGCAGCAGCAGAAGCAAATCCATCTTTGAAGTACAAATGATTCCCAGCGTTCATTCATTATGAACATAAAATAGCTGTCAGCATTCTTTCCCCTTCCAGTTTTAAGAGCCAATGGAAGGGGAAACTGAACAGTTATGTTACATCTGTACGGCTTTACTGCTCTGCAGCCCAGTTGCCTTAGCTCATTTATCATTTCCAGATTTTTTACATGTCATTGATCTTCGCTGCAGGGATCAGACAGAGCCGATGTCAGGTCTCTGTTTTAAGTGCAAATTAAAGAACAGGAGAGAGCCCAGCTTTCAATAATGAAAAAAGAAATAATAATAAAAAAATCAGGCCATTATAAACATGAAACCAGCTGTACATTCTCAGAGACCCCAGTACGGGGTCTCCGAGTAGCACTGAATTAAAAGGCGTGGGGCCCTATTCTGAACTGTCAGTTTGCCTACGCCATTGCTCTCAAGTCTTACACCTTTTAGCTGTAGGCATGCTTCGTTAAGGTACGAGGGCTTGCCGATCGGAAGGTCGGCTGTTCGAATCCCCGCGACGGGGTGAGCTCCCATTGCTCGGTCCCAGCTACTGCCAACCTAGCAGTTTGAAAGCACGTCAAAGTGCAAGTAGATAAATAGGTACCGCTCCAGCGGGAAGGTAAACGGTGTTTCCGTGCGCTGCTCTGGTTCACCAGAAGCGGCTTAGTCATGCTGGCCACATGACCCAGAAGCTGTATGCCGGCTCCCTTGGCCAATAAAGCAAGATGAGCGTCACAACCCCAGAGTCGTCTGCAACTGGACGTAACGGTCAGGGGTCCCTTTACCTTTACTTCATTAAAATGAAGGTCTCTCCCTGCTTCCAAAGAGCGCAGATAAGTCAAAATAAGGGTTCTAACCAATCTGGATTAGTGATAGGGAGTATAAAATCGGCACCCAAGGATGCCAACTTGAATAAAATCTTGGAGGGGGCCAGATAAGTTCTGGCCCGCATAATCAAGTCAGTAGACATGGCACAAACACACCATTTGAATGGCAATTCTGATCAACTTTAGGTTTGTGTGCCCCCCCAAAATATATTTTATTGAGGGTGCCAAAGGGACCTTGGCCCCTAAGAGTTGGAAAGAAAGAAAGAAAGAAAGAAAGAAAGAAAGAAAGAAAGAAAGAAAGAAAGATGGTGCAAATATCATTTGAAGGATGCCAATGAGGAAAGTATGGGAATGCCAACATTTTGGGAAGGAATGTTGAGTTCTTAGTAATAAATGAGGGGGAGGGGTGGATACTATACTGAGAAAAAGGAAGGCTTTTGTGAAGCTGGAAGTACCCAGTGACTCACATAACTAAGCATGTGAATATCCTCTATTGAACAATATTGTGCTGGAAGTGAAAGTGTTGGGTGTTTGGTAAGTAAGAATAATACTTTGCATTCATATTGTGCAATCCTATGTATGCACATAAACTGCACTTTATCCAGTGCTGTTTATTCCCATGTAAGTGTGCATAGGATTGCATATGCGTGTGTTCAAAGCACATCCTATTTCTTATCCCTGCAATTGCTAGCAGGCTCAGTAAGGGAGGGCAAGTGCTATTGTTGCCATATTGCTGGGGTGAGTGGTGGCCAAAAAGAGCAAAGAGCGAGCCCTGGTGGATCAGAACCAAATCCCCGTCTTGTCCAGCATCCTGCTCTTACAATAGCCAAGTGTGCCCAGACATAGCAAGTCCACAAGCAGCAAGTCCACAAGCAGGACACACTCACCCAACTTGTGATTTCCGGCAACTCACATTCAGCGGTTTACTGCCTCCTGCACTTAAAAGTAATGCATAGCCGTCAGGACTAGTAGCCATTGACTAATCCTTAATAAAACCAGGCAAGAGGTGAGGATTTGCCTTAAGGCCACCTAGTTAGCCTGTCCTGTGACCAAAGTGAGGTTTTATCTGGCAATCTTTCAAACCATTCTCCACGTTAGATCATGCAGTAGCTATTTTGCACATTCCTGTCACGGAGTGATGTGTGCATGTACATGAGCCCCTCTATGAAAAGACATGCTAGGAAATAGTCTCTGCAATACTGGATTGGCTAAAAGTGAACCTAACCCCCTATATAATTAGCAAAAAAACACAAAGCACCTCTAGCAGCTAGTTATGTAGAGGTGGCTAAATGTACACATTGCAGAATCGCAAACTGTGTGAATGGCTGGAACGCTAACAAATATATCAATACAACTGTATTTGCCCCCTGAACAGTGGTCTACAGGAGACCTGCAACACATTGCATTATGCGCCTGCTCAGAATTCTAGCTACTCTGTTTACATTCCTCCCCGCTACAAGTTTTCTGTTCAATGCCTCTCAAGTTAGCCAGCATTCTGTACCCACTGAGCACATTTGTGTACAGACAGTATACAGTGTGTTATGTACTGAGTTGAATAGGATCCAAAATGCAGCAGTCTGATTGGTCCACAGGAGCCACCCAATCCAGCTCCAGGTGGAAGTGAAGCTGCGACCTGATTGGCCTACAGGAGAATCCCGGAATTAGCCAATCACGTGGGGCCCATTGTGTAAATAATGTATATAAAGCAGACATTCTGGGGGAACTTCCATTCCTCCTCACCACTATGAGCTGAATAAAGAGCATGAAATCCACTCTCGACTCCGAGTATATTTCACAGTGGTACCTTGGGTTACAAACGCTTCAGGTTAGAGACTCCACTAACCCAGAAATAATACCTCGGGTTAAGAACTTTGCTTCAGGATGAGAACAGAAATTGTGCGGCGGCGGCGCGGCAGCAGCGGGAGGCCCCATTAGCTAATGTGGCACCTCAGGTTAAGAACAGTTTCAGGTTAAGAATGGACCTCCAGAACAAATTAAGTTCTTAACCCGAGGTACCACTGTAGCCTTCAAAGCACCTTCAAGGTACATTCTTCCCCTCAAAGAATTCTGGGCACTGTAGTTTGTTCAGGTTTGTGAGGAGTGTAACTGTGAGGGGCAAACGACAGTGCCGAGAATTCTTGGAGGCAAAGAACTTGTTTCAAATATGCTTTAGAAGGTATAGTGTGCATATACTCTTAGTCCTCATCATTGAGCTGTTTTTGGAGTTTCCCCTTTCTATAGATTTGTCATACTTCTGCAAACCTTGGGGTTTCCTCAAGCCAGCTGATATGTTCATGTCACATGATCATGTTACACAGGACAAATGCAACTAAGGGTGAAGGCATCACTGGTTTCTCCTGCTGTAAAAATATGCTGGAGAACATGAATCTCAGCCCTAAAGGTAAAGGTAAAGGGACCCCTGACCATTAGGTCCAGTCGTGACCGCCTCTGGAGTTGCGGCGCTCATCTCGCTTTATTGGCCAAAGGAGCCGGCGTACAGCTTCCGGTCATGTGGCCAGCATAACTAAGCCGCTTCTGGCGAACCAGAGCAGCGCACAGAAATGCAGTTTACCTTCCCACCGGAGCAGTAACTATTTATCTACTTGCACTTTGATGTGATTTCGAACTGCTAGGTTGGCAGGAGCAGGGACCGAGCAACGGGAGCTCACCCCGTCACGGGGATTCGAACCGCCGACCTTCTGATCAGCAAGTCCTAGGCTCTGTGGTTTAACCCACAGCTCCACCCGCGTCCCTTGTTCTTCTTATGTATGGGTTTATTTACCATCCCAGCACACAGGTCTTGATACAACGCAAAGCAAAAGGAGCACTATTATCCTTGGATTAATCAGCAGCAATTATATTTTGAACTATCAGAAGCTAAACTAGCCTCAAGTTCCAGTTCTCTAATCAATTAACTGGATTTTGCAGCAAAGCGAGCTTCATCTATTTCAGTGGAACAGGCTTCCCAGGGATAGTTTGTGCCTGTGCAGATTTCCTCAGAAGAAAGTCCCAGTGAATTCAAGGAGGCTCATTCCTTTGCATGCCTGTGTTGGACTGCAGCCTCCGCTGGCTTGCAGATTGATGCATCTCATTTCAGTGGGTTGGAAGAGAACTGAAAAGGCCAAGTCTCAAGTTTCAAAGCTGTCTCATTGTCCTGTTCCCTGTGCAGACTGCTGGGTGGTGGTAGGTTTTATTTTCTGCTCCTGCTGATAGCTATTACTTAAAGATGTGTGGAAACTAGAAACCACTGGGGATAATATATGTGGCTTGTCAGTTACACACTATTTCAAAGAGCATTCGGTGGCGAGCCAATGAGGTCCAGTCGGCCTTCAAGGCTGGTGACTAATCTACTTATGGATTTGTTGTGGCCTTGAGAAAGTTATTTCTCTCTAATACCCTGATCCTAAGCGTCTTTGCTCAGCATTATCCCATTGATTTGAATGAAGCTTGCTTCCAGTATGTGTGCTCGGGTCCTTGGTTTCTTCAAAGGATCTGAGCACACGTGCTGGATGCAACCACCAAGGACTTTTGATACAGCCAATTATTTGTTTCCATTGTTCTGTGCTACCAACCGCGATGCCTTTGCTTTGTTGGTCAATCTGGGGCAAGAGGAAGGAGTGCAATTATAGTCATAACTCATGTTACGTTTGCTTCAGGTTGAGCATTTTCAGGTTGTGTCCCGCGGGGACCCAAAGTACCGGAAAGAGTTACTTCCAGGTTTTGCCGCTTGCGCATGCGCAGAAGCAGCGAATCGTGACCTGCGCAGACGTAGGTTGCATCCTGCTCATGTTGCGAACGGGCCTCCGGAACAGATCCCGTTCGCAACCAGAGGTACCACTGTATTGTGTGCATGGAAGGAGGGTGTGGCGATCACACAGGGTCCCCGGACGTTTCACCGCCTATTGATCCCTGTGCCACCACTTTATTTCTCGCTGCCACCACCCAGGCCCTACCTGGGACAATACTGAATCCAGTCAGGGTTAAATTGAAACACACTTTTGTTATTTCTTGCAATTTAACAAGCATGTGGTTTCATAAACCATACTGGTCAATTACATTCATGGGGTGCCTATCCAGACCTATAACTTCCGCTACCTGCTCTCACTCACTAAACCACCTCTCAGATATTTACTTGTCTTCCTAGCCCCTAACTGTTCCTGACTCAGCCTATTTCGCTACACTAACTCAACCTACCCACAAACTATCCCAATTCACTCCCACTCCAACCAACCACCCAACTCCCAACGACCTTCTCTCTTTGCCCCTCCCAGAGCTGGTTTTATGGTCCCTCTGACTCCACCCCCCTGGGTTCTGATTGGGTAACCCATTTAACTATTTCACCTCCAGGACTCTCTCATATGTTAACGCCACAGAGGGTCCCTTCCCATCATCTCAAACCCCGAGTTCTGTTTATACAAACAAAGCCCACAAATCTAAGGTGGGGCATCTGTGACCTTCCAGATGTTGAACACCCATCGTTGGGGGCAGACACCTAGGGGCCAATGCAGTTTTGGCCCCAACGGCAATGTATTTTTTGAGGGGGCCGGGACCAGGCCTCTTCAATTTCCAGAGGGCGCTTGGCTCCACCCCCTGGCTCCCTGAGACTTACGTCAGGCCCCTCAATCATCTGGAAAAGCTGGCACCTTTGACTCCCGTCATCCCTGACCACTGGCCATGCTGGCTAACAATACTGAGAGAGCTAGAATCCAACAACATATGAAGGGCCACCGATTCCCCACATCTGTTTTAAATGGTTAAAATCTAAAATAATCCTTTTATTTGGGAGTGGGGTCACTCTTCCCCGCCCCCAGTTATTTTCCTTTTGTACATGAAACATGTTTACTAAAATGGTAAGACAATTCTCATGCTTCTGCAGGTGAACATAACTGCCTTCCAACACAGGTAAAACGTTATTAGTTGCAGCCTGCATCTATGGAAATAGGTTTTGTACCTGGGTGACTCCTTTTCGCCTCTGTTTCCTTTGATTTTATTGTACACAACCTTGTGTATTGTATACCTTGGTTTGCAACTGTTTTGGATTACAACCACGTCAAACCCAGAAGTGCGTGTCCCTTTTTTTTAATTACAACCCATTTTAAAAAAATTACAACCCCCCCTTTTTTTTGAGGCCCCATTGGCGAAAGCGCGCCTTGGGTTACAACCTGTTTTGGTTTACAACCGGACGTCCAGAACGGATTATGGTTGTAAACCAAGGTACCACTGTACTAGGAAAAGTGAGCACACGGACTCATATTGAAGTCTAAGGAAATAAATGCAGTTTGTAAGGCAGGGGCTAGAGAAAGGCAAGCCTAAGCATGTTTACAGAGCTCTGTGGGACTCGCTCCCTAGTATGAAGTCACCATCTGAAGCACACAATCACCTGCTTTAAATCTCCCTCCCAACCCCCAAAATCAATGGGATAAAAAAAAAATGCTTAACCTTCAAGCCCCATGTTTCTAGAGCAGTTATATGGTATAATAACCCATCAGCTCTCAGAGACAGGATGGCAAGTGTGATGGCAAGATTCAAGGGCAATCAAAGAAACAGTTAAACATTTCAGTGCAGTATAATATCAAAATAAGTTTTTAATTTAATTTATCTTTTCAAAATAAGAGCAAGAACATCAAGGGATATTGAGGAAAGTATCATCCTTATGGTTGCTATGTTTCAAAAAAGTAAAAACCAGGACACCCCAAAGCTGCTGAGCTTTCTTTAGGAAGGAAACACAACACACAAAAACCTGCGCTCTTTTGTAAATTCCCCCCCGTCAAATTAAAAAAAAAAACAACAGACGTCAATTCCGCCTATGAAATCCCAAATGTATGGCAGCCCTAATCATCCTATAATACTTAACGTACATATGTAAGAGACTCATTTATAGTTATAATTTGGGAGCGTATCCTTACGCAGATGCTGATTTAAGAACTTTATACTTGATTTTATACTTTCTGGATGTTCTATTTTGTAAATTAAGTACTTCTAGGAGTCCCCGTCCCGCCCCCAACGTATTTCTTCTTTGTTTTCCAATCCATTTCCACATCTGCTGGGCTCAAATTTTTATTCTGAAATAATAATAAAGGGGGAGGGGAGTTTGAGCTCCGTGGGAGAACAGAAGATCCCAGGTTCCATCCCCTGACTCTCTAGGCAGGGCTGGGAAGTCGAAAGGAGCTTCTTATGCCAAGAACCCCCTTGAAACGTCTCCTTTTTCTCTTCCCTCTCAGAGGCGCCAGCTGTAGAAAAAGTCCCCATTTCCCTCATGCTTGTCTCACGGATCGGCCGGGGGAACCCCTTCCAGACCGCCGGAGCCAATCAGGAGACGGTGCGGCGCCGCGTCATAAAGGAGGAGGCGGACCCTCCCACACAGTGACCTCATCGTCGGCATTCCCTGCATCTCGGGTCTTGCCTGCTGCCACGTGGGTTCCCAGCCTGCAATAAAAGTCTGCCTGGCTTTTTGCTGAGCGACCTCGCTCTTCTTTTTTTTGCTCGCTCTGCAAAAAGGGAAGGCGGGGATTAGGAAGCGGCCGGGGCTTCAGACGCCTCTCCCCGGGCTTGCAAGGGGGCGCGGGGCTGCAGGCAGGCCGGGGCTTGTTTTCATGCGCTGGAGGGGCGAATGCTGCGCACGTGTGGGTCGCCTCTCTGGACTCTGGCCCATAACCACGGTCTCTTCTCCCCGCCTCCCCATAATTGAACCGCTCCAGCTGCGCCCTGTCGAAGCCTTTTGCAACCAGACACTTTTGCATTGGGTCTTTTGCAAAAGGACCCTGCTTTTAAACTCGCTGCGCCTTCCCACGAGGGAAGAAAGGCTGCTGAATCCGGAGCAATAAAAAAAGGGGGGGGCAGTGGGAACGAAACAATGAGGTGGCTTCTATCCAGGGCATGGAGAGAGAGAGATAGGCATCTTGGAGCCCGGCAGGCGGTTGCCAAGCCGGGGCCAGCGCAGCCTCCTCTCAAGCCTGTCTCTTTGTCCTGCCCCACGGATGGGGGGAGAGCGGATCGGCCCCTGCCTGCACGCGCGCGGCTCCGGAGCCGATGCCACGTCCTTCCATTTCCCTCGCCTGCCGGCGCGCCCCATCCTCCAAAGCAGAGGATCTCAACCCTGCCCACCCGGAAAAAACCAAAGCAAAACCCTCGCCCCGATCCACGGCCACACACCGCACTTGGGTGGCAAAGCATTGAGCCTTGCAAGGCCTGGAGGCGAGGAGTTGCATTGCTCCTCTCCTGTAAAACGGCGCCCAGCTGCGGCAGCGATCCTACGCATAGACAACTTTGAAGCCAGCGAGGCTTAAGGCCTGAGTAAAGAGGCACTCTCAGATCTTGAGGGTGGGGTGGAGGAGTCAGGGTGCCCACGTGTTAATATAGGGTGGGTACCTATCTCTGCTTCCCTTCCCTCCCCCCGAAGCATTTCGAAGCGTCTTCCAAAAAGGGTTCACCAAACCAGACACACCCCTCTCCAAACACCGAGCAGACAGATGTTTCTTCCATAGAGGGGAGGGGGAGACCGGCTCTCCAGATGTTGCTGGACTCCCAACTCCCAGCAGCTCTGGCCATGGTCGCTGGCGGGGGGGGGTGTCAATAGCCAGATGTTCCTCACTACCACCGCAGCATCTGGCTATTCAGATTGCATTTGAACACGGCTCCTTCGTTTCACAGCCTTTGCCTTGACAGATCTGTAGCTCCCATCAATGCGTCTTTCAGAAAAAGAAAAACGAAAGATGCCAAGAGCGCGCCCCAGCCACCCAGCTACCCTCCCATATTGTGGCAGCGCGTTCCGTAGGTGGAAGCGTTGCGGAGCAGCTCCTTTCTCCCGCCAGTCAAATGTATTGGCCGATTCTGGCTCGGTTTGTAGGTTGCTGAGACATCCTCTCCCCCCTTCCTTAAATAAATAAATAAATCACTGGGAATCTGACACCCACACCCCTCCCCCTCTCGCCTTCTGCTCCTTCCCAGGTTCCTTCTCCACTCTCTTCCACCCATTTGAAACCGGGAAGGGAGGGGAGGGCGTGGCAAAGTCACGTTTCATGTTTTTACAAGTGTCTAAATAGCTACAGTGTATGCAGCCCAAAAGAGAGAGAAGGGGAAACCAGACCCGCCTTCCGGGATAGACTCGCTCCTTTGATATTTTGGAACCAGATCAATGTCTTCAAATCTCCCAAGAACCTTTTAGCTTACATAGGTGTGTTCATACGTGTGATATATATTTCTTGCAAGCCGAGAGGAAAAAAACTATTCCTTTACTTAGGCGTACAAGACACGCCTCCCCACCAGTTACTTGCGAGTAGACTTACTGATTTCCCTCCATCGATTTTATGGATGTTCCCACAATTATCACGGAAATGAGAGAAGAGACTAGGAGGACCTAGATGCATTTACTCCTCCACAAGCCCCTTCCAATGGGGTTTACTCGCGAGTAAGTTCTGTTCTGCCACAAAACCCTGGCGCTCGATCCTCGATCTTTAATGCATTTGCAGAACTCGGGGTTGGTAAACGATTTATAGACCAGGATAAGGAAAACGGGCAAGATCCGGCTAAAGGTGAACACTTCCCAATACCATTTTCCCCCAGTAGAAGAGAAGCGCACCCCCCCAAAAAAAACCCTAACTATGCTTAGGCCCACACGAGCTTTGCTCCCAAGTAAGTACGCGCAGAATTGCAGCCTTAAAACGCGGTTGACCTTGGCAGGATCGTTTCCTGCGCCCTGAAGACGCGCCCAAGGTAGCCTAGGTGTTAAATTTAGCTTCCCCAAGACAGGATGCAGTAAAGAGATGCACAGCATTATCTGAAAGAAGCTTCAGGTGATCAACGGCAATTAAATTAGGCTGTTCCTCGGGGCAGAGACCTGCGTTCCCATCGGTTTAAAAGGCAGACGCGCGCAACGAGTTGCCTCGATGGCGCTCCACAAACACTAACATTTCTCTGTCCCCCTCCTCGGAAGCAATGTCCGCCTCTTATTTAAAAATAAATAAATCCCCCCCAATCCCCCCAACCCGATTTCTTGCAAGAAACCTAAACAGAAATAAAATTGCCATTATTATTATTTTTTTAAAAAAAGCAACCCTCACTCACCTTGCAGTTCTTCTCTGCTCATCCAAGATCTACAAAGAGGCCGTCGGCGCGGTGCGGAGACCGGGAAGCCCTCTCCCCCCAGATTGAGGTAATAGATCAACTCACGCTTTCGGGAGGGTGTTTGGAGGGGGTGGATCCCAACGGCCTGCAAACCATGGGGAAGAAAACAGGGAGCAGAAGGGGGATCTTTTCTCCCCCACCTGGATCCCAGTTCCCTAAAAAAATTCAAGTTTCTGGCCTTTTTTTTCAAATTTCCTTGCCCCTTCCTTATTTTTTTCTCAAAGCTGGCTTCCAGAGAGATGGAGACGGTGGGCTTGTTCCTGGCGGTGGAGAGTCCAGGCGCCCGCCGCAGAAGTTGCTAAGAAAAGTTGAAGGCGGCGCAGCATCAACAGGCAAAAGAGGGAAGAAAAAAAAAGTCTCACTCTCTCTCTTTGGTCCGGGCTGAATGGAACTTCTATCTCAGGCTCGGCGGCGGCGTAGCAGCAGCAAGCAGCCTCAGCAGTTGGAAGTAGCGGGTGGATAATATTTTCCAGACGTCTCTTGCCTCTCTCTCTCTCGCTCTCTCTCTCTCCCGTCTTCTTTTTCCTGCCTCCCCTTGGCTGCTGAGATTCTGCCTGCTCCAAGTTGAGGGGTCTCTCTCTCTTTCTCCTTTTTTTTTTTTTAAACCAGTGAAGGCTTGGAGGTTGTTTTAATAGGGTGGAAAGGGTGGGGGGGGGAGAGGAGGAGGGAGAGAGGGAGGGAACTCCTGTAAGTTGGAAGGGGGGGGGAAGAGCGAGAAAGAAGAGGGAGAGAACTGCCCATTCAACAGGACCAGTTTAAACTCGAGTGAATTCAATTAAATTAATTGCAAACAGAAATTGCAAAAAGAGAGAGAGAGAAATACAATACACATGTGTTACTACCTGATGATTTCCTCTTCGTGTTAGAAGGGGTGGGGAGAGGGGAGTTGGGCTTTTGAAATCCCTCCATTCTGCCACTCATTTCACCTCCCGGAATCATATTGTATGTTTTGGGTAGTAAATGATTTCTGGTGCACATTGCATTTAATTTTTTTTTAAAAAAAATATCCAGGTTTCATATTTTCCCCCTCCTTCTCTTCTAAGGAAGCGGGCTGGAGGGATTGCTTCTCTGATGATTTCTTAATTCATTGGAATTGCTTTACACAAGCTGGCTTTGCTTCCTTGATCCAGCCCAGCTTTGCGAGATAATAAGGGATATGGTTGGAAGGAACTCCAGGCGATTGGAAAGGAGAAATAAACCCATTCACGGTCCCTCGCCAACGAGCCTGGCTTTGGAGAGCAAGCCTGGAAGAAGGGGGAGGGGACGACAACGACGAAACAGTCTTTGAAATCATCTTTGCATCAGAAGCTCTGGTCCAAATCCAGCTAGAAAGATCCATGTGCAAAACTGGGCTTTTCTGTGCAGGCAGCTGTTGGGAACATCTTGATATGCAGACACATGGCAGTGCCATCATGTTCACTGAGCCTAGGACTTGCCGATCAGAAGGTTGGCGGTTCGAATCCCCGCGACGGTGTAAGCTCCCGTTGCTCGGTCCCTGCTCCTGCCAACCTAGCAGTTCAAAAGCACGTCAAAGTGCAAGTAGATAAATAGGTCCCGCTCCGGCGGGAAAGTAAACGGCGTTTCCGTGCGCTGCTCTGGTTCGCCAGAAGCGGCTTAGTCATGCTGGCCACATGACCCGGAAGCTGTACGCCGGCTCCCTCGGCCAATAAAGCGAGATGAGCGTCGCAACCCCAGAGTCGGCCACGACTGGACCTAATGGTCAGGGGTCCCTTTACCTTTACTTTACACTGACTGGCTTTTTGATGGGGAGGAGTGGGTGAATGCACACCCCCATCGTGTTAGTCGTGTGAGTTGTGTGGTTCATGACTAAATGTGCACAACTAGATCTGAACCAGAACCTCTCCATTTCTTCCTTTAGTTCAGGTGAGGCGAGAACCTGTGGAACGTGAGATATTGCTGGACTCCAGCTCCCATTGTCCCTCACCTTTAGGCCATGCTGGCTGGGGCTGATAACACTAGGAGGCCACCAACAATTGGAGGACCACAGTTTACCCACTCCTGATATCGATCATCCCCTTTAGTTCTCATGTTCTGGGTGTGAATGCCAAAACAGGACCACTCACACACAACTGAGAGGTGTTGGCAGGTTTGGGTGAGTCCTGAGGTTTGGAGATGTAAAAGGTAAAGGTAAAGGGACCCCTGGCCATTAGGTCCAGTCATGACAGACTCTGGGGTTGCAGCGTTCATCTCGCTTTATTGGCAGAGGGAGCCGGCATACAGCTTCCTGGTCATGTGGCCAGCATGACTAAGCCGTTTCTGGCAAAGCAGAGCAGCGTACGGAAATGCCGTTTACCTTCCTGCCGGAGTGGTACCTATTTATCTACTTGCACTGGCGTGCTTTCGAACTGCTAGGTTGGCAGGAGCAGGGACTGAGCAACGGGAGCTCACCCCGTCGCGGGGATTCGAACTGCCGACCTTCTGATTGGCAAGTCCTAGGCTCTGTGGTTTAACCCACAGCGCCACACACACACAAAACCCCCCTTCTTTCATGGGGATGAATCCTAAGGGAGTAAACCCAAAAAAGCAGCCTATTGAAAACACAGCGTGCTCTGTGACCCACAGAAGGATGAACACGATGAAAAAGATAAGAAAGGAAATGGAGAGCGTAGAATCCTGAACAGGGAGCCCTACACATTGCAACATTCCCCGCCCCCAGACAACGATGATTGATTGCTTATATTTATATCCTGACCGTCTACACAACGGTGTTCAATACACGTAATGAAATGAATGGGAAATTAGATCAGTCCTGTTACCAATTTTGCTGCTGCCTTCTGCTTGCTTACATCAATATTGTCAGCTGAGAGAAATGGAACTGCTGTGATCAATCAGTGCCCCCCTTTTCTCTGCTGGTGGACAGAAATAATGACTACTAAATTCCTGTCAATTCATGGTACTATTTCATATATATATAACATTATTTGTGGGGGGTGATCACTCTACATTTTCCCTCCAACAGATTTTCAAGAAAACTGACCACCACCAGGTGGCACTGTTTAGAAAATTATAAGCCATGCGGTTCCTCGGGTCTAGCCAAAGGTCATATGATTTCTAATATTTTTTGCAAATATGTGCACATGGACCCGAGTGAAAAGCTTGTATCAATCTGCCTCCCCTGAGGTCGAATGGCAGAAAAACGCCAGCTAGCTGTAATGCGTCAGAATGGCTTCTCTTGACAGTTCCCATTCATTGAGCATCTGGTTCTGTTAAACAGGCATGCGGATTGTCTTCCCTAACATTTCCCCTTATTAGTATGTGGGCAAACTCCCCATAATCTGCTTCAGATAGAATCCTGAGCGAGCAGTTTGCTTCCTGGACATCTGCTGGATGTCCAGAGGAAGCTAACCCTGAGGAAGGATGCAGGAAATCTTCAGCCGAAGAATCAAATCGGCATGTGGCATTCATGCCTCCTTCCCCAGCCACCTGGCCATGGTGCTGCAGTGGCAGCGGAAGCCAAAAGCTGGCATAATCCTATTCCTTTCTATGCAACTCTTTCTTTGCCTTTCTGCGCAACCCTTTCATAAAGGTTCTGCAGCAGGTTCTAGTCTCTAGACCAGGCCTGCCAAACCTCAGCCCAGGGGTCTTAATTTGGCCCTTTATTTCTCTCTTGGCTGGCTCTCAAAACTCTCCTCAGGCCACAAATCTTCCACAGCCACATCCGTTCTCGCCCCTTATCTGCTTAAGGGTTGTCATATTTCAAACAGTGACGTTTTCGAGCTATTTTAATGGAAAATCGGCAAAGACGACGCTGCTAACATGGGTTGCCGTATGTCTGGATTTTCCTGGACGTCATTTTCTGACTTCTGCCTAGACATTGCTGCTGACTGAGGTATTCAATGTAGGTCCAGGAAATTCTGGACATATGGCATTCTGGACATATGTAACTCCCTCCTTAAATGTTTTTTGCCGGGCTATAATGCACCCTTTTTAAGAAAGCAGAGACATCACCTTGCCGACAAAGGACCGTATAGTTAAAGCTATGGTTTTCCCAGTAGTGATGTATGGAAGTGAGAGCTGGACCATAAAGAAGGCTGATCGCCGAAGAATGGATGCTTTTGAATTATGGTGCTGGAGGAGACTCTTGAAAGTCCCATGGACTGCAAGAAGATCAAACCTATCCATTCTTAAGGAAATCAGCCCTGAGTGCTCACTGGAAGGACAGATCCCGAAGCTGAGGTTCCAATACTTTGGCCACCTCATGAGAAGAGAAGACTCCCTGGAAAAGACCCTGATGTTGGGAAAGATGGAGGGCACAAGGAGAAGGGGACGACAGAGGACAAGATGGTTGGACAGTGTTCTCAAAGCTATGAACATGGGTTTGACTAAACTGTGGGAGGCAGTGGAAGACAGGAGTGCCTGGCGTGCTCTGGTCCATGGGGTCACGAAGAGTCGGACATGACTAAACGACTAAACAACAACAAAATGCATCCTTGGGGTGTAAGGGGTATTAGGGGAGGAATAGTACCCCTGGCGGGGGCACGTCATGCCCCTTCTGGGGTAATTTGTCCACCTTTGGTCCCCACTCAGCTCTCACCTGTGGCTCCTAGGAGCTATCAACATGCGACAGCAGCCGCACGCTGGGAACAGCTTCAACTGACTGGCTAAACTGGGCAAAGGTAGCCGATGGTTCTCAAACCCTCTGTGAGTTAGGGACTTCCCCTACATGTGAAGACAGGCTCCAGTGGATTGTTTAGCCAAGACAATGGTGGGACCAACAGTCAAGGCACACGATTCAGCGCACTCATTTTTTAATAAGCATTTTTAAAAGAACGGACTCCTGGCTTGGTCGGTAGAGAAATCGTGAATAGCATCATTCTTCCCAAAGGCTCAAGGTGGCCAACACGCATTGATTTCGCTTCCCTCTGTGATGAAAATTATTTCATGTGAAAATCTGTCAGGAAATGCTCTTCCTAAAATTCATAGGCATATACACACAAAACAAAACCTGTTATAAAATTTATTTATTTTTTTAAAAAAACAACTTCTCAAGAGACGAACTAAAAGTGGGGGTGCTCTGATATTTACCTGTGGAAAGAATTTGGCCTGTTAGATTTGGAACTTGGCAACCTCTTAACTCTTGATGGTCTAGTACTTAACTCCTTTTGTTTCTCCTTGTTTCTCCTTCATGACAACAATAATAGTTGGCTGGCTTCTGATTTCAACCTTTTTATGTGTGTGGGGGTGTTTTTTTGTGTTTACAGCTTTATGTAAAACTGTTATACACCACAAACACACATGGAAGAGTGACATATAAATGTTTCTATAAATATAAAAGCAAACTCCACCCCTGTATGGAAGATAAGGTGAAGAGAGAGCTAAGTGAGCTTTGTGCCTGAGCTGCAAAATTGAGGACCATATATATATATATATATATATATATATATATATATATATATATATATGGAGCTAAGGCTTTGACCTCATTTGCCTAGTGGTGACTCTGCTCACCAAATCTCCTTTGCTTCCCCACTTTCTGTCTCAGCCTTTAGCCTGCCCTGTAATAGCTTCCTCTGCCTGTTGGCTTTGCCTTCCTGGAATAGCCTTCCCTAACCTGATACTTTCCA